TATGCAATGCATGTTTAAGTGCTGAAATGACTGAGCAGATGACACATCTATTACAGACCTGCTCTCAGTTTTTCCCCACTCACTCACTACCTGCTCCCTCTCTCTCCACCTTGTAACCAATGCTGGTTGTGCATGGAAAATAATGAGAACGAGAAGAGAGCTAACGGGCCGCTCAAGGTAGAACTGCTCTTTTACTGTATGAATATCGGCTCAACAGAATGTCTAATTAGGAGCATCAAAGACTCCTTCATAAATTCAAGGACATATTCTGTTGTGAAGTGCGTGAGAGAGAGAGAGAATAAAAAGAAAGAGAGAGAGAAATTGTGGAAAAGTAAGAGACGGAGAAGAAGAGTTTACAAATTAAACAACTGTACATGTATTAATGTAGCATACAGTATGAAGCATGTGTCTGTGTGTGTGTTTGTGTGCGTGTGTGCATGTGTGCATATTCGTATTAACTACAAGAGATGTGTGTGGGTGTTTTGTAGAAGCGTGACATCTTCAGTATACTTGTATAAGGAGAGCGTTGTCTCATTATTATATCTGTGGGCTGCTGTATGGAGAAGAGAACAGTGTATGTGACAGTGACAGAAGCTGGCAAGATGCTTTCATATACTTCACAGCTTATTTACAGATAAAACAAATTTAAAAGGATATCTAAAATTTTATTGCTTTTTAGCCACTTAAATCTCATTCCTCTTAAAGTACTGTGCAGAAGTCAGAGGCCACCCTTTATTTATTTAATTTCCAGCCAAAACGGCCAGTAATGTAAAGTTATACATTTTACTGGAGATATTCTTGAGGAGATTAGATATAAAATAATCTGCTTGAGGAAGAAAGGGAAGAGTCAAAGGAAAATAAGTGAATAAACAGAGACCTGATAGACCAACAAAACTGTCACCATAGGATAAACAGTACTTATTTATTTTTTATCTTTGAGAGATTTCTGTTTTGGGTCGGAAAGGATGTGTAGCTATCGAGAAGCCATTAGTGAGAAAAGGAAACAGTCACAAAAGAAGAAAATTTGCACAAGAACACCGAAACTGGACATCTGAGATGGAGTGATGTAGAAAAACTAATCAGGATTACTTGTATTGTGAGAAGCAAAAAATACAACCAACTTCTAAGACTGAACTTTGGGGATGGGAAAAAAGTATTCCTGCAAATTTCTTGAAAAAAAAAAAACCTGAAAGCAAGTCTCCCAAAAAGAATGGAAACTGAAACATAGGCAGTGTTGGCACTAAATACTCAAAATTGGTATTATATTTAGTTATTGAGGCTTCTTTTTTCTGTTGAATGTTTTTTGCCTTTTTCCTGATGCTGGAAAATTATTAACTTATTAATATCTAAATATCTGAATAAAAGAATTATATTCGACATGGACAAATAAGATATTTGTTTACTAGATGAGATGCCTGGTATTTCACATTATAAGTGCAAGTGGGCTTGCACATTTAATGTGAAATACTTACTTATGTAAAAGTATTGAAAACACTGTGAAAAATCCAAATTCAGCAGAACTTTACCTAAGCACTTGTGACTGAGTAAATATGTGGAATACACATTAGAATTCTGAATATGTTACCTAGAAGTAACAAAGCTAGTTTGAGCTGCACTATGTAACGTTTGTGGATTTTGAGACCTCAGTGGCGCAAATGTGTAATTGCGTGCAATGTTTAAAAGACGTTGGTTGTGCTTCGGGCCTCTTTGTCGAGCAAATGAATCTGATGACTCTGTGTGCATTAAAAGAGAATTCAAAGAGAACTCAAACTTGGTGAAGGACGTGTCTTCCGAGGATGTAAGTGATTTAGCTACTATTGTCCTCATGTCTTCATTAGAACAGTCTTAATTTAGCATTTGAGACCTAAATATCGAGCTGGACTTACCTTTTGACTCATGTGCATGTGACATTACTACATAAAGGTTTAAGATGTGGTCCGAAAAACACCTGCAAAATCCACCCAACACCTCAGACTTTTAAATGATTGTTTTAGGCTTTACAGAGTGACCTGCAGCAGTGCACGCACACCTTATTGTGTATTTTGTATTCTTTTTTCTCCTGACTCAGTAATGCTACTTCTTTCAGTTTTAACAAAAAAAAAACTTATGTAGTGTTGCTTTAGTATAGCACTTCACTTTCTGCATGGCAGCGTGCTGCCTATCACCTTAGTTAATGTACTCATAAAGAGAAATTCTCTTGTAATTGAGCTGCCTAATGAAAATAATAATGGTGCCATAAATCATGACTAACGTGATTAATGTTTGTATTATAATCTGTTTAATAATCTGTTTTTGTAATCTGATGGGTATTTAATTCATACGAGAAATTGAACACAAGCAGATATACTTGGAGCTGTGCTCTGATGATTGCTCTGAGAATGTCTCAGTATGTGAAACCACATGATGATCTGATCACTTCAGCCGAGCGTGTGCAAGTGTTGTTTTGAGTATGTGGGTTTAATGACCTTTTAATAGCGAGTGCACTGAAACGGCTGATCGCCAATTCTGCGAGAAACTGTGGTCTAAATGAAAGATTCGTTTTCCTGCTGTCTATTGCTTACTTGCTCACATGCTCACGCAGTTCCCCTAGCCCACACACACCCATACACTCGAAAATCTGTGGCCTTTCTTGTATGGCACTTTATATATGAAGATCTTTCCCTTCAACAACAGGTATATTCACTGAACAGTAAAGTCTACTGAAGGTTAACAAGTTTAATGATAATAGTACTGTAATACCCTAATTTTAAGTTCCTTAAAATAAGAGCTCATAGAGTAGTTTTCCCATTAACGCTTTTAAGTGTTTTAATATTAACTGCTTATCAGTAAGCACCTGCTGCATTCCCATGTATCGAGACTGTCATAAAACCTCAAATCACGAAAATGTTCACTTTGTAGAAGAAGGATAAAATGTCCTTAACTTTTGTTAGCATAGAGAGAACACTCAAAGAGAGACTGGAAACGCTGTTGCAACGATAGGCTGGCTAGAGACTAATAATCAGCCCATTCTTCTGTAGCAGGGCCTATGCTCTGCGTGCCCCATTCCTGATGTGACACTGTCACACTGCTGCTGCTGTTGCCCCTAGAGATCTATTGCTGCTATAAATAGCTTGCAGGCAGCGTGAGCTTTGGTGCTAGGCAGTGCTTTCCTGGCCAAACCTAGCCAGAAATCAGCCTCACTTTCTTCAGGTAAGCTTACCTAACCACAGACAGGTGGATTACATCTGTATTGTGGTCCCGCAGAGATGTTGGGTCAAGTTTCGGTCCTGCTCAGCAGGTTATATTTCACCTGATTATGGTCAGTCAAACGCTCGGAAACTCAGGCTCAGGGATTTAGATGATGCCATCAGATATTTTGATCAAGTTTCTCCACTGATGAGCTAAATTAGGAATCACTAACAGATTGGGTTAAGTTTCTCTATTGTTGTTGTGGACCTCAGGTAGCTCCACCCCAAGGACAGCATAAAGGTGGGATTAAAGAGCAGCACTGCATTTGGGTGCCTATGTGTGTGTGTGGGTGTGTGCGAGAAATATCTTGATCAAGTTTCCATTGATGCAATAAATTAGGAATCTCTAACAAATTAGGTTGAGCTGAGATTCTATAGACCTCTGAGGTTGTGTGATCATTTTGTAGTTTGCCATTACCATCCAGATAAATCCTAGGTCTAAGCTGTCTATGAGAATTAATGGTGTTTTTTAGTACTTTGTTCTGTGGTGAGTTCTGAAGCTGAGACATTTCACCCAATTAAACTCCCCCCCCATACACTGTTTTTTTTTTTTATTTTGAGGTTGTTAGGGAGTCAAAATAGTAGTATTGTTATGTACACTATATACTACATGCAAACCAACACCTCATTCATTTTTTCCACTGACAAAAACAACTTAAGGCCCATTCACGTCATTCATGTCAGTTTTTTTACACACCAACATAATCTTATGAAAACAAACACACACATATTAATACAGTCTGATGGACTGTGATGGTGTGGAAAATTTAAAATAGGAGCCAGCTCAATTTGCTGCATCATCAGGATGCATTAAAAAGCACTGGCTGACTAACAATCACCAATCAGACAGCCATTGTCCTGGATGCAGTCCAAGCAAATGTGCAAGATTCCCCCACTGACATATGAAATACCTTTAAAATTGCCAAAGTCCTTATAGAAAAGTTTGTCTGCTCAGCAGCCAGTTATTTCTAGTCATGCAAGATCAGGCTTCTATCTCTTTGACAGGGGAGAGATCTATAACCTGAAACTGAAGACCACATTTTTGACAATCCAGCAACAATCAAATTCCTTTTTTGGATCAAAAAAGGCAGAAAAAAACATGTTTTTCTGGTTGTTCTGGGTACTATACCTGTACATGTCTCCACAATTGGAGGGGGTTCCCGCTTGTGGCTTTACCAACAAGTTAATTTGCTCTTTTTATTGAAATGTGAGGCTTTCTCTGTAAACCAGTACCAGGTTGATCATTATCAGCTATCCCATTCATTTTTAACCCCTAATCTGTCTTCTTCTCCTTTATAATGTCTATGGAATTGCTCAGGATTACAGCTTTTGTTGTTTTGCTCTTCTCTTTACTTTAAAGCTAATGCCTGAACTATTTATGTTGTCTTTTTTGTAGACAGAGGTATATACCCAGTGTGTGCACCTTGCAGCGCTTAAAAAATGATCCATAGTCAAAACTGCTTGAAGAATTTATTTCTTGTTTTACGTTGTTCCTGCATTCTCAGGGTGTTTGAAAAACTTAATGTGAAGTTTCTACTGTTTTTTCTTCCCTAAAAATGCATACTTGATAAGAATAGGTCTTTAGACCTCAGAGTCCTTTCATGGGCATGTCACCAACTACAAAATGATGCATGACCACAGAGGTTTGTTGTAGTTTTGGATCTCATGTAGCCCTACCTCTTCAGTAACATCAAAAATTGCATTTGGGTGCCATTGCGTGTGGTTGTGTGTGCTGCAGCTTGCATGCTGACAGATTTACTCTTGCTCCTACAGAGCCCTCTTTGGGAGGGACTACTTGTGGCGCATAGCCTCTTTCCCCTCTGAGACATCATGGACATGTTTTTCCGCCGCCATTTCCGCCGAAAGGTCCGTGAGCAGGCTGGCCGCCGGCGTTCGAGTGTGGCTGTGCCGGCCAGTAAAGCACGGCGGCGCTCCAGTGCCGGACTGCCCTCTGCTGGCCTGGCTCAGAGGCGCAGGTCCAGCATCCAGCTGCAAGGTGCCCTTCAGGCAGCCAGTGGTCAGAGTGGAGGGCCTCTAGTCAGGGACCGGCGTTTTGTCCGGCGCCGCTCAAGCGGAACCACAGCCTGCTTGACCCCTAGGTTTTCCCTCCGCAGGCGCCGGGCAGCAAAACACCGTAGCATCCACGCCCAGCTCTTGGGGCCATCACTGCTGTTGGCCAGCGTGGTGCAGATGAGTGAAGAGAAGGAGACAGATGAGGGTAGTGAGGGAGGACAGTCTGCCTCCTCTGAAGAAGACGACTCGCAGAGCGATGACTGCTGGGAAGATCCTGACAAACTTGGGGCGCACCCCAAGGCAGAGTCAGATGAATCTCCGTCCTGGTTGGCTCAGGGTCTGGTAGATGGAGACAGCCTTCAGCCCCGCCCAATCATCCGTGCGCCGCGCTGCCTTCGGCGGAACTCCTCCCACTTGCTTCCTGCTGATGCTGTGTACCACAGCCCTGCCTACTATGGTCTGTATGGTCGCTACCGGAGAAACAGCCAGGTGTGGAGAACAACTAATGTGGGGATCGGCGGGGTTTGGACGGGGAGGCGGAGCTCTGTGGCAACTCGGAGAGGGTCAGTGACTAATCACAGAAAATACTCCCCTTGGTGGCCGGACCCTGGACTAGCAGGCGTGCTACAGGGGACGTACTATGACCCCCAGACAGACACATGGAGTGGGTTTCTCTCGTATGTAAAGCTTAAATATTGTTTGTGTCTGTGTGTGCTTGCGCATTTGCAGAGGACAGTGTGATGTGGAAAAAAGAGAACGGAAGGTCTTGACACTGAAACCTGCTAGGCATCTTCCTAACTTGTATCTTTGGCACACTTTGTGTGTACCTGTGTGTGTGTGTGTGTGTGTGTGTGTGTGTGTGTGTGCGTGTGCGTGTGCGTGCGCATGAACTAACAGACAGCAGAGGGCAGATGTTATATATTGTTGATGTTTGTGTGGTGACTAGTCCTTGCACTTTATCAGACACAAGTATTTCCTTTGAGAACATGCACTCTCACTCACTTTTTCTCACCTCTCTCTCGCGCGCACGCACACACACACACACACACACACACACACACACACACATCAAACAGATCTGGGGGGTGCATTATGGAGTGGGGTTTTTTTTGGGGTATTATTTTATTATAGGGATATCTAAACTTCACAGTATACATTGTGGAAATGTCAGTCACTTTTATACAGCATTTCACATACTGTGCTGCACCAAATCCAGTTAAACAGGCCTAATTTATACTTTCTTTATAATGAAACATGTAATGGTTCAGTGTTCTCAATATCCACAATATGCTCAGAAATGCATTGTTTATGGCAATAACACCGTTTATCAGGATAATAATAAAATATGAGCTGTATTGCCCACCTCTACTCATGAGCCACGGGAAATCAAGAGGGCGAGCTGTGGTGTCATATTTCCAGAAATAAATAAAACAAATAAAAGAATTGCTACTCAGTCAACGTAATGTCGCTTGTCACTCACAGTTGCTTGAAAACAAATTAAATTAATTCATTGACATTAGCCATTCACAGAACAATTAGAGCCCTCCAAAACCTCTTCACATCCGTACCACTCACGCTCGCCTTATTTTTGGTCCACCATGGGAAAAAAAATTGAGCAAGGCAACTGCATTTAAAATGGACCAAATAAGTACTTTGTCTTCATATGTGACACAGATTTGTTGTTAAAACACACAGAATCTGATATTTTCAATTCTGGTTTGGGTCATTTTCATGTGCAGGCCTAAAATTCAACACATATCTGCGCATATCTGATATGTGCAGTCATGGATAAATTACATAAATCCTCTATTTGAGTAAAATTACTGATACACTTTGTAAAATATTATGACTAAACATAAAAGTCCTTAAAGTACAAAAATGCTTGTTTTACACATAAGTATTTAAAGTAAAAGTACTGCAAGTTATTCTGTCTATTAAATGTATTAAGCTGTCCTGTTTTGGTGGCTGATAAGCCCTTGAGCACACCATTGCTAACAATGGCATTTCCATGGCGAAAGTAGAAATTCTTGGTATTCTTTGGATCAGCACATCCTAAAGGTCAGAAAGGAATTAACAGAAAGATGTTCATTCTGCCTTTAAGTGCTAAAACATCCGCATCTCTAGTCAGGCTAGTAGCGCTAAAGCATACAGATCAGTCAAAAAGTGAGAAACCCCATCAAATAACGATCAATGAAGATGACATGGAAATAAAGGAGCAGTGGCCACTTGCTAAAACATCTTAAGTTAAATGCTTAAGGCATAAATTTAAAGTTGTAAATTAAAATTTTGCGACTGTCAAAAACATAAAACTTAAACTCATGGTCTAAAATGAAATGTATGGTTATGATTTTTTTTTTTTCACTTTCTAATTAAGCATTTCCCTGAAGAGATTTTTGAAGGTTTGGTTATGTGAGGAAGAAGAAGAAGAGCAGGCTACTCATTCACAATACTGCAGTTAGCCAATAGGCCAGAGTATATGATATATGACGGTATTTGAGTTTGAAAAAAAAAAAAGGATGACCCGATGACACTGCCGTGGTGGATACTGACACATCAGTAGGCTGAAGAAGGTGGTGGCAGACTGGCAGTCGTTAAAATCATGTGGCTAATAAACTGCTTTTGTAGTTCTAAGAAGTCATCTCAGGATAAAGTTAGATATGGCAATGTTTTCATGATTCTGTGTCCACTCATATTTAATTGATTAACTAGGAGCAAAAAGTTACTGAAATTACCAAAGTTCAGCGCTAGGGGAACGCTGTTTGCCTTCTCGTCTAGTTACTTCAAATCGTTTGCTTTACATTGTTACCAAATAAGTGAACAGTGCATGATTTGCAAGTCGTCATACTTTAAATGTCAAACCACATATTGAAAAATTCATGAATGTAAAACAGTGCTGCTAACTAGGAGAGGGGAGCTGATTAGCATTAGCTTCGCTAGCATGCTAACAGCTCTGCCCACCACAGAACATGTGATTCTGGCTGACTTAAGCACTGTCACAAGTTTAGATGATTAAAAAATAAATCATTGTTAAAATCCTAGAGAGTGAAGTCGAGCAACTGCTAAAGGCACAGAAAGGCCTTCAACTTGTTACGTAGCGTTGATAGGCTACCTTAACGTTAGTTTAGCAAGCAGGCTACATTCTCAAACAGTACCCCACACCACAGTACAGGCTTGACTCTAAAAGTTGGTGCTTTTTTGGTGCAAATTTAAATGATAAAAATGTTCAAGAGAGCAAAAGAGTAAGAGTAGGCCAAAGTCCAAAGTGTTCTGTGGTGTGTGCAAAGAATATGAAGCTCTTAGCTTTTCTGAGGTTTTTCTTGGCTCTGATGTCCCTCTTTTTCCTCTTGGTGCCACCTATTCGTGAACACCTACACCACCAATCACTGAGCCCTTCCGTTCAGACATGAAATAAAAATTTAATACGTCATTATTTTTAAACGCCATCATCATTTCTAAGTACTGTGCGTGGTATTCATAGTATTTGATTGCGTCATTAAGAAGATCCTGTTGCCATGTTGGAAGGCAAGCTGTAACTCTGCTCTAATAGAACTCGCCTCATCACCGTAACTGTAGCTACAACCCTGCTGGTGGCTGAAGACCAAAAGCAAAATAGAATAAATAAAATAAATCGGGATAAGCACAATAAACATGAAGTAGTTTGTGGATGCAGTCTCCAGAAAACGCTACAAGGAGAAGATTAGCTAGATGGATTCATATAGCCTGCATATCTCAAAAGTTCAGAAAATTTCCATCCCTGAGATTTTGCAAAAACGATTAAAAGTGGCTACCAAAGCTGCTAAAGCTCTTAAATAGTAAACTCATACACATAGATAAAGCTGAAACTAGTCTCTTATTTGCCGGCTTACAACTTTTTCCTAAAATAACTAGAAATACTTTAATAAATACAGATACTTGGAAAAAAGTACTTAAGTTCAGTAATGAAGTATGTTTATTTACTGTCAATCATTAGGTATGTAGCATTTAATTTGAAAAGTCAAATTGAAATTCATCTGACTTTTATATCAATCATATTATTTCCATGCTATTAGGAATGAATCTTATGGAACGATATATATAAAGGGCAGTTAGTGGTTGCTAGTGTTGCCTCCATGTTGTTTGTTTTCTAACAAAGTGACCTGTTCAGACTAATGTAAGACATAGCCAAACAAAATATCAGATTTGAGCAGGAAATCCGAATTGAGCACTTAAATTTGCAGAATGAATGCAGCCAAAAGGAAGACTACAGTACTTCTTTTGTATGTACTTTAATTGACTATTAAGAGTTTTTTCTGTTTTTTTTTCTTTGTGTGCGTAGGAAGGCTATAGCTAAATCTGGCCTACAGCATCTGTCGTCTCAGCCCAGCAGTTCAGTGCTGGCCAAGTGTGACTCGGACAGAGAGATCCGCAGCACTGTGGACTGGAGCGTGAGTTAATACACTACACACACACACACACACACACACACACACACACACACATGCACACGCACACGCACACACACACAAACAAACGAACAAACAGAGAGATTCTCCACGTCACATACCTTGCAGGCAATGGCATAGTATCAGTACACTCATCTATAATAAACACAGAATAGGGTGCAGTATTTTGCATGTTTGCACATTTAAGGTAGTAAATTAGTTTACAAAGTAATCCAAACACAAAAGCACAGAAAAAAGTCCACATTATACAAAGGGTGCACACACATTGAGACCTTTTAATAAAGCCCCATAATACAGCTGTTAACAGGGTTCTTTGAACAATGCTGTATAGAATAGGAGTGTCCAATCTTCATTGCATTCCAAACACGCAGGAACACACCTGATACCACTTGTTTAATCAGTTGGTGTTATTCTTTAAACAGCTGATTATGTATGCTCCTGCTTTATTGGAGTGAAAACCTGCAACCGCAATAGCCCTTTGTGGATAAAATTGCTCAACCGAGCTATAGAAGAACCACTTTTGGCTCCCGGAAGATCCATGTTTTAAAGTGAGATTTCTGAGTCTGTAGAACCTGGAAAGCAGGGACATAGGAATTGTGGACCAATGCTAATGTCCAGTATTTTTCATGTATATATCTGCCGATGCCATTACATAAACAATCTTAAAATGTAGAAATTAGAACTAGATCAACCTAGATTAGCAATATAGAAAAATGCAGAGGGTTACAAATGCAGTAAATTGAACAAAATGCAGACATTTTACCACAGTAGCACAGCATTACCTAAATGCTCTGCTCTTCTGGAGTAAAATAAAAATGAATAAATATGAAATCATCAAATATCGGTTTCAAATATCAGTCAAATCTAAACACTGTCTGATAATCCTTTTGGCAGTTTTTTTGGCAGTTAAGATTACTTGATAAAAAAAAAAATTGATTTTAATTTACTTTGTCAATGAGTTGGTAGTAATTAGTTAGCAATTTACATGATGGTAAGTGATGGGTACTCAAAAAAAATCCATTACAAATTACTAATTACTTCTCTTAAACTGTAATGTGGTAACTTTAAAGTTAATGTGAATCAAAAATCTAAATGAATTTTTATCCTTTAATGTGATGCATTTCTGAGTTAAACAGGCTACTCGGCCCAGGAGATAATTGTGGGTGAGACATGATTTTATTCTTCACGATTTGACTGGATTGTGAAAAGATGGCATTCTGAAACATAATTTAAAAAGGCCTCACTTGTGTTAATATGAATTTAAAACCATAAGTCAGGTGCAAAAACAAGAATTGAAAGTGAAAGTGAGAGAGCAAAGTCAGAAGAAGAAAAGGAGGTTGCCTTCTGACATTATGTACATACAGCCGGCAATAGAGGTAATGAGAGGTGTTGCTCTGTGAATGGTCAGGTTGGTGGAAGGTGGAGGGAAACCATGCTAAGATATTATTGGTTAGTATAATTTTTACCTGCTGCTGGAACATGGTGACACAACCAAATGTCAGAAGGTGTTCAGAGGGAGTAAAAGTCAATACACTTCGATAAAAAAATCAGAAAAATAAGAATTTTGTATTTCGAATGATCTGACACAATGGATTGTGCTTAACCCTCGTAATATGTTCTGGGTCCAAATTGACCATTTTCAGGTTTTGTTGTCTCTAAAATACCATTACACTTTATAATTTTAGTGAAGCTTGATGAGTTCCTCAACAGTGATGATTACCAATTCAATGTTTTTATAAAGTCTCTACACCATTTGGGTACAAAGATACTGTTCAGGGTCAAATTTGACCCTGTAGTTCAAAATTAAAAATGCAGCAAGGAGACACGATGCAAGTGAGTTTTATTATAGTTTTAAGGTTTTACACACATGCACACACAGACATGGGAACTAAATATTTCTCGCAGAGAGAATAATCCAGACCGACTGGGGGACGATATAGAGTGCAGGTCAAATGCAAGCAAGTGAATGTTATGACAATAGCCTGTAAAATTTTACACACACACACACACACACACTCAGTCTCTCTCTCTCACTCTCTCTATTTCTCTTTCTCTGTTTCTCTTTTGCTCGCTCTCACTTGTACTCTCACACGCTCTCTCGCTCACTTACACACACAACAGCCTCATACAGATATAACAGACTCACAAACATACTCTCTCTCTCACATTCCAAAAAAGTTGGGACGAGGGCATGTTTACCACTGTGTTTCATCACCTCTTCTTTTAACAACACTCTGTAAGCATTTGCGAACTGAAATGTTTTCCCATTCTTGTTGATATAGGATTTCAGCTGCTCAACAGTTTGAGGTCTCCTTTTTTGTATTATTCATTTCATAATGCGCCAAATGTTTTTAATACAGAGCAATACTGTTGTAATACATGCAGAATGTGGTTTGACCTTGTCTTGCTGACGTAAGCAAGGCCTTCCCTGAAAAAGACGTCATCTGGATGGCAGCATATGTTGCCAAAACCTGTATTTATTTTTGAAGCCTTAATGATGCCTTCACAGATGTGCACGTCACCCATGCCATGTGCACTAATGCACCCCTAGACCTTCATGAATACTGGCTTTTGAACTGTGTACTGAAGCTTAGTGGTCTTTATCCCAGAGGACGCAGTGTCCATGATTTCCAAAAAGAATTTCAAGTGTTGATTTGTCGGACCACAGGACACTTTTCCACTCCCCTCAGTCCATTTTAAATTAGCTCGGGCCCAGAGAAGGTGGCAGCATTCTTGGATCCTGTTTATATTTGATTTCTTTATTGCGTTTTTCAGAAGTGTTCCTGAGCCCATGCAGTAATTTCCTCTACAGAATCATGTCTATTTTTAATGCAGTGCTGCCTAAGGACCCAAAGATCGTGGCCAGCAAATACTGGTTTTTGGTCTTGTCCCTTGTATTCAGATATTTCTCCTGATTCTCTGTTTGTTTTAATGTTATTATGTACCGGAGATGATGAAAAGCAAAAGTTCTTTGCTATTTTATGTTGAGAAGCGTTATTATTGAATTTGCTTGTTCGGTCTTTCACAGAGTGGTGAACCCCTCCTCATATTTACTTCTGAAAGACTCAGCCTTTCTCAGATGCTCTTTTTATACCCAGTCATGTTACTGACCTGTTGCCAAACAACCACCAGGTGTTTTCTTAGCATTACACAACTTTACCAGCCTTTTGTTGCCCCCGTCCCAAATTTTTTGGAATGTGTTGTTGGCTTTGAATTTAAAATGGGCAAATATTTAAAAAAAAAAACAATAAAATTTCTCACTTTCAATATTTGATATGTTGTCTTTGTACTATTTTCGATGAAACATAGGGTTTAAATGATTTGCACATCATTGCATTTTGTTTTTGTTTACATTTTGCACAGCGTCCCAACTTTTTTGGAAATGGGGTTGTATGTTCTAAGACTATTTTGAGCTGATTTAGCCATACAGGGTCAAAATTGACCTGCAAACATAGATGATGTAACCACTTTGCGAACATATTAGGAGGGTTAATTTGACCTCATCTTGTTACTCTATATCGCTATTGTCGGAAGAAAGCCTTGTATCTCCAAAATGATAACTTTACAGGAAGAGAAAAAAACATACGTTACTTTTAATGTATGTCAATGGAACCAAACTTTTTTCCAAGTCCTTTTGGGCCGTTTCTTTTGGTCCATTCATCATGGAATTTACACGTAATGTACAGGTTCCTTTGAATTATGTCAAAAACTGAAAAACGTCAAAAATGGAGATATGAGGTTTTCTTTCGACAACAGTGATATATTACTTCTAAATGAATCTAAAACCCATACAAATATGTATCAACTGGAAAGTACAAAGAAAAACCCAATAAGAAATGAAACAAGTGAGAAATCACATGAAAAATCATTTAAAGGACCTGTCTGTATCTGGCTTTTACAATCAGCCAGTTATACTAGGTTAAAATATAGAATAGAAAAATAGAATCTAGCCACTAGACATAGTCTTAAGCAGCTGCTTTAAAATAAAATTTATATGATTAAAAGTTAAGCTTTCAGATCTGTTCCTGAATGAAATCTGAGTTTGGCCTTTTTAGGTGAAGTTGGGCATCTCTTTTTCACACCACAGGGTTTTTATCCATCAGTTTCATAGTAGCATGATTAGATGCTTCACTTCCTGCACTCATGCTGTGCTGCTTGCATTCACAATCAAAGTCATGCAGTCAGCTGTGGCATGTACAACACACACATAATTTACATATAAGGTCAGGCATGGGTAGTAAATACTCAAGGTATTTACGATTTAAATTCAACACACACATGAGTAACACAAGTACAAATTACACAATTACTGAGTTGAAAAGAATTACAAGTAGTTGTTGAATTTGGGTAAGGAAAGCTAGTCACATTACAATAATGTTACGCTGTACTGCATTACTCCCAGCACTGATGATGATGCAAATCCTTGCTTTCAGGACTAAACCTTATATCTCCAGTTTTGTTGTTTTTCATTTTTTGATGTAATTTAAAAATGCTATCTGTCCTTTACAATGTGTTAACATTTCATGATGGATGGACTAAAAGAAACGGTCCAAAATTACTTGTAAAAATTTGTTAAATTAACTCTCATTCAATGTTAAGAAGGTTTTTTTCTCCTGTAAATGTAACATTTTGGAGATACAAAGTTTTGTCCCAACAGTGACAATGTTTAAATTGTCCTACTGATCAGTGAGAACAGAGCTTGATGAACACGTCCATGCATTTTTGCCGCATAGTTTTGTTGTATAATTTTTTTTACATTACAGTTATTACAAGGCTTCCTTTTTTGTCTTTTTCCTGTAAAGACTTTTTTAATCTTTGACATGCTGTTCATAGTTTGTTATTATTCAGTTAATTGCACTTTTACCATTTGGCCTTTCATAAATTAACAAAATAATCAGTGCTTGACTCAATTACTTCACTACTGATATAACTGATAGTGAAAGTCCTAGAAACAAATAATGTAAGTAATGTAGCATTTTCAATTTAACATAAATTGAGTATGTGTTGTGTTCACATTTGTGTGCAGGAGTCGGCAGTGTATGGAGACCACATCTGGTTTGAGACCAACGTCTCCGGAGACTTCTGTTACGTTGGAGAACAGCACTGCTACGCAAAGACACTGGTTTGTGTGTGTGTTTGTGCATGTGTGCATTTTAGCCCATGATGCCATTCCAGTTCTAAAAGCTTCCTCACAAAAACAGAACAGTTAAAAAAAGAGATAGAACAAAACGAGAAGCTGTGAAGAAAACAACAGAGATGATAGCAGAGTGAGTGGAGGAGAGAGGGGAAAAAAGAGAGAAGGAATGAGTGGAAAAAGGAATAAGCAGAGTTGTGAAGGAGAAAAAACCTGGCAGCAAAAAGCAGACAGGTGAGAGATGATCAGCAGAGCGGAATTAGGGAAAGAGAAGGAGGAGATGAAAAGATGAGAGAGATATTTTGTACTTCAGTCACAGAATTCTTTCTGATCTCTAGTAGAAGAGCTTCCTTATGCTTAGCCTGCAGCACTGGATCCGTCCAACTGTGTTTCCTTACATAAACACAAATGCTGCCATCTGGAGGTTCAGCTTGAAAATGCATTGAATAGTTACTGGATTTGTCAGGAACCTATGGTTCAAGATTGTGTTTGCTGATGCAGAATTCATATATGACAACCTTTAGAGACAGTAAACCTTATATTAACAGCCTCTGACCTGTAAAAATTCACCGATACCAGTATAGAACCTTTCTAGCATTGAAATCATTGTCAGCCACAGCATTTATCCTGTTTTGATTTTCTTTTACTGTGATATATTCCTTTATTTTTATTTTATTTGATAGTTGACATCTAATCAGGCTCTCACACACAGTTAAATACACATACAAACACAATCAAAGTCAGAGAGACTGAGACCAAGAGAGAGGCAGGCTAGGTTATGTTCTGCGATGAGCTGAGAGAACAAAGTCTATGATGATGTAGCTTAATCTGTAAGATGAGGTTGAGGGGCAGGTGTTTGCATGCAATTGTATGCAAAAGTGTGGAAACTCCCTGTCAAATGTTTTGTTGATTTTTTGTAAGTGAAAATAAGTTAATACAGGGAGATTCACGTGAAAGAGGCCCCGAATATTCTGTTGTAATTCCCGTTAGGATGAAGCAATCTGAACCAAAAAAATACGCTACATACCTTCATAAATGTGTAATTGATTGCATTACATGCAACGCTGGAAGTGATCTTCGAAGGGGTACGGGGGTATGCACCCGGAAGTTGCAAACAGAGGTTAAACATCGCGATGGCTGTCTGACACCTACCTCATCGCTCCGACGCAGGGGCATCTCTGCTTGTTCGAAGCTCCATATACTGAGGAGCACATTGCACGTTGTTTTGTTCAGATTGCTTCATCCTAGTGAGAGTTATTACAGAATATTCGGGGCCTTTTTCGAGTAAATCTCCTTGTGCTTCCTCTACAGGGAACAAACTCAAATATTTTCAAGCGTTTTTCTTGCAAATTTTCGTGCACAGTTTTTTCAAAATAAAACAAATATAAAATGTGCCATTACTTTTGCACAGGCCGCATTTTAGGTTTTTAGTTAGTTATGCTCTCCGTACAACTTATTTTCTCTTACAAAATTAACATGTAATTTGGCTAGGGGAGCCCAAACTTTTGCATATGACTGATTTTACTTAAGCTACACTCCAGTTTTATTTATTTATTTTTTCTTATGAGGGACAATGAAACTAAACTCCAATTCCTCAAAGGACGATCTGATTATTACAGCACTTTTCCTTATTCTGTTAAGTGGCGATCTGATGTCTTGGCTACTCTTCTTCATCTGGTTTGTTTTATCTGTGTGCAGTGTGCATGATAAAAGAATTTCACGTAAATTACTACGCCTATGCTCACCTCACCACCCACAGTTTGATCAGATTCATTTTTATGCCAGGAAGTCTAAAACAGAAAGTGAAAACCTATCTGACTTTGACAGAATTATTGTTGGTAACTGGACAGAGTTAGAGGGAGAACTGTATTAGTCGAGATTTCCTATGGTTATACAGCTGTATACCTGCAAAAAAAAAAAAAGCGATTCTACAGGTAAACCATATGGACTGACGACAGATTAGATGTTTTGGTTAAATTAGATGTTTTGTTGATTTTCTAAGAGAAACTAAGTACAGAGAACAAATATCTGCACAATTTTAGTGCACAATTACTGTTTATTCGCTGAATTTAACATAATGGGAAAAAATAAAACATAAACTGTGCCCTGTGCAAAAACTATGGCATTTTAAATTCTGCACATAAACAAATTGTGCCCAGAAAAAGTTTTACATTTTTTCCCTGTCATAGATATCTTAACTTATTTCCACTTAGAAAGTCAACAAAGCATGTAATTTGATGGGGGTGTTCAAACATTTGCATAGGCCTGAAGGAGAGTTGGAAATAATTAATTCAAAACGCACAGAAGCCAATTGGCAGTTGCTTCAATGTATATCTACATCAGAAATTTCACCACTTTTACAACTGACATTAAATTAGTGAACTGGTTTTGAAAAGTGTTGAGTGTAGACTTTTTTTTTTACTGTAAAGACGGTCGTTTATTCAGAATTACAGACTGGCTCACCACTAGATTTAAATGCAACTTTTAAAAATCCTTCCACAGGTTGCCACCTGTTGTAAACTTTGCCAACTGGAGTGTTTTGTCTTAAAGCAAAAAAACATTTCAAATATTTATTTCTCTCTCTCTTTCTTCCCATAGCAAAAATCTGTTGCCCGAAAGAAATGCGCTGCTTGCAAGATTGTAGTTCACACCATTTGTATAGAACAGCTAGAGAAGGTGAGTGCTGTGTCTTTCAGCAGTTCTTGACAGGGGGTGTGCCCATCACTGCTTCATCAACCAATCATGTCCCTACCCTCAGTTATCTCACAGGAAGCCTCAGCCTCAGGGGGAGTGGCTTGATGAGCTGCCACACAAAGATCCGTCTTTCAGAGTGAGACCACCACGCACCCCTCCCTCTTTTCTTTTCACTTTTTTCTCATCTCTTATACTTTTTGATCGCTCCTTCTTCTCTCTCAGATTGAGCTGGGGCTAAAGTGTCACCCGCACACACTCCAGTGGCATTACTACCAGCAGTGCAAGTGGGGTAATCACACTGGGGAATATAGCGCAGTGGAACTGTGGTGTCAGGGCTCTATAATGTCTTAAAATTATATTGATATTTTGCCCGCATTAAAGCACCAACTTAGTTGAGACATAGCAATTTTTTTGTTTAGTTTTTTTTTCTACTAAAGGTTAGTTTTTTATGGGGGCCCATAAACTCATAGGCTGCAACTCTTCCTACAGATACTGAAACAGTCTATCCTGATGATGTCTGAAGCGAGTTAGAAGTTAAGACAGGAATCTGTTGGGTTTAGTGCAGAGATTTTACTGCATAATCACAGGGATTTAGCAGACTTGATGTCAGGAGCTAGTTGAGGCAATACAGAGGTTACTAAAAAGCCCAGAAAAAGCCAGTTAAGGACCCCTGCGCAATGTCTGTGTCCTCTGGCACCTCTTACGCAAAGCATTGCTGCAAAATTAACAAAATACATGCTCACTTTTTAGAGCAGCAAAGGAAATAGAGCCAAAGTCCATCACTTTCAGTTTATGAGGAGTTTTTGGAAGATCTGTGTCTGCTTCCAGAAACAAATACAAAGCCTTAATTTACTGATGATGTTAATAAAAGCAGAATTTAATCAGACATTTTTTTCCTGTTAATCTTGCAATCATAGTTAATATTTTTTCTGTGTAAAGTATTTACCAAACTGTTTAATAATGCAGCAAGTGTATCTTGAATAATTTATAAAGATTTTATTATGCCTTATAGGTGGTAGTTACAGGGCTTTAGTTACGGCCTAGTTAGTATTACTGTATTAGTAGAGACAAAACCAATGAACAGTACAATATTGTAGCATAGTATAGGTGAAAGTTGGAAGTCGGATCTGTCTCAGTTTATAACTCACTGAACACTGCCCCTCTACTCTTCTTTTCACTGCACCTTTGATTGGCCAACTGCTCATTTCAATCAGGTTGATGTGGTTTGGTTTAAGCTCATACTGGTGATGCTGTCCTGTTTATATTGTGTTGTGAATTTGCATGGTAAATAACACTTCTCTGGTTGGTCATCATCAGGTGAAGGTGATTAATAATGGTCAAATATGCCCATGCTTACTAACAAACTTGGGGGCGGGAAAGGAAAACTGTATGGAAATGCTCCTCCTGATTTCATTGTTCTTCTTTTAATGCAATAACATTGATTAAATCAAAATGTCAGATCTTTTTTCATACATAATGTGTTTCTCAACTCTCAAGTATAAACAAACTGATATTCTCTTTAAATTCAGTGGAAAAAGTCTCATTGGGGGGATGAATATTTTTTGTGAAAAACATTTTTATGAACACTTAACAGTTGCATTTCATTATAGATCTTTGTATTTTATTTATGTGGTCCTTGTTTGGCAGATTTCCACTGGACATCTGGTAATTCCAGATCATCTCTTCATTCTAGTGCAAAGTCGTGTTTGTACTAATGTAACACGTCTGTTTTAGATCAATTTCAGGTGTAAACCTTCATTCAGGGAATCAGGCTCTCGGAACATACGGGAGGTGAGTTTTTAGGTTGCAGTCACTTGTCTTTCTCATCACCCAGCTTTTGTTTTTCCCACTTTTTCCTACATGTTTTCCCTTGTCTCTCGTGCTGTGTGCCATTCCAGTGTTCAGAGCTCCATTCAGACAGTCATTAGCTTCTTAACCCCTTAAACCCAAAGGGCCTGTATGTTTTGCCACACTTTAGTTCCTTACTCTCATCATTACTAAAAGCCAAACTGTGTACATTTTGGGGATTTGGAGGATCTCAGGTGGAAATATGTGATTGCTTGCAATAGGGAGATGAACATATTGTTGTCGGTTATGCTTCGGACCCCTTCCCCGAGCATGTTGAAAGAGTATTCAGTGAGAACTCAGTCAAAATTTGGTGAAGGGCATGTCTTCTGATGATGTAAGTGAATTATCTACTATTTTCATCATATCATCATGAGATCTAAACATTAAGCTTTGTATGTGTGTGTGACGTTAATATGTAAAGATGTATGACATGGTCCGAAACATGCGAAATCCGACCTGAAGCCACTGACTTTTAAATTATTTTTTCAGGTTTTATAGGGAAACTCACAGCAGTGTACGGACACTGTATTGGCATATGGCATGTTTTTCTCAGTTTTAACATAAAAATCTTACATATTGTACCTTTTAATTTATAGTGTAGTTTCATAGTAGTAAATAATATAGTAGTAAATAACTGATAACAGTTCCTGAGTAAGAGGTCTGAGGATTAATATCTGAATAAGAAATCTTTGGTTCAAGGGGTTAATTATGCTTTGTGATTGCTGTTGAAATGGAGCTTTCGGCTTCTTAAAAATTTCTACCTTCTGCTTTCATATCTTCTTTCTTCCCTTTTTAAAACTTTCCATCCATCCTGCGCCATTCCTCTCCTGTTTTCCCATCATGCCTTGCGTGGGTTAGCCCGCCTGGCGTCGCAGAGTCATAAAAGGTCAAGCTGCTTGGGAGCGAATCAAGCATACTGCAGCTAACCGCAGGTCACATGTACCTCTCACACAGGTATTACGCACACATACAATGCACACATGTTTGTGTATTCTACATGAGTGGAGCTAAATGCTGCTTTGCTACACCTAAACCCAGCCCTAACTTTCTCTTCAGCTACCAAAGAGAAATACTTTGTCTCTTTGACTTTTTGAAATAAATGCTTCATTAAAAGCTCATTCAAAATAAATCATAATTTTTTCCTCATGAGTACCAGCCAAATGTCCCCACAGTGTCTTACATTTTCTTGCTTTTTATCGTGCTGCACAGAAAAGGCCTGGGCGATAGGGCAGTGTGATCAGATGTCCCTGATGAGTACAAAAAACCTGACGATGATGTGTAAAAGCCGATATTTGCCATGTTGGAAAACAGACAGAGAACTAGATATTACTAATTTACAGTTAATCTGTTTGGTAAATATGTTGGAAAAAGTGGTTCATGTACTGTTAAGAAATGTGCGAGTGCATGAACCAGTAGTCTCTTCACCGGAGAGAGAAAGAAGTGTGTTAATAAACTGCTTGTTAGTTCTCTCTGCTACATACTGTAATGGCAGCTTTACTTACCCTACAGCTCTTCCTCTTCTTCTTATTTTACTTTAAATTTAGCTTTAGTTCGTGGAACCGAAAATATATGCCAGATGCTTTGGAACTTAAGCTTACCTCAGTGTGACTCTCTGCAGCAACTGAGTATAAACATATACAGCAGCTAGCTCTAGCCTTGAAACATTTAGAAATAAAGTTCTTCTGATCCTTGTCTATGGCCAGGAGACAGGATCAGATAAAGGTAACAAATGATATTAAATAATATGTACACATTATGTTGTGTTCACTTTTACTATTAAAACATTATAATGGTTAAAATTGGGCCTTAAAAAGCTGTTGGGCTTCAGTGGTAAATTCCCCACTGTCTATGTTGCGAGTTTCCCAGAGTGTGTCTGGGGGGGGTGGATACAGCTTAGGTGTCCTGGTGGTTCAGATGAGTTAACTTATGGAATTATGAAAATATAATGCCGTATGGTTTTCTATAGGGGTACATAGCTGAATTCCAAACTCCAATACAACAATGGAAAACATCTATTTTTTTCATTTATTAAGCATGTAGGCATGGCTTTAGATTCTAAACTTGCAGTCTAAATTTTCTCCAGCGAGGGTTGCCGTTATCATGCAAGTTGTCATTAATCTACACCAGAAGGACTCTCAAAAAGGCATGTTTGAGTTTTTAATTGATAATCAGAATAAAAAGTTGTCTGCCAAAGTTTGAACACCCTCAGTCAAATTACATTTTGTTGTTTTGTGAAAGTGAAAATAAGTTAACACATTCTCTACAGGGAATAGACTTAAGTATTGTGTTTTTCTGCAAATTTAGTGCACAATTGCTGGTTATTTGCGGAGTTTAACAAACTGGAAAAAAAAAAAAACTTGTGCCATAACTTTGACACAGGCCACATTTCATGTTGTTTTTCTCCCCAATATGTTAACTTCAGCAAATAAACAATAATTGTGCATGAAAATGTGCAGAAGTGTGTTCTCTGTAAACGATGTGTGATTATTTTCACTTAGAGAATCAACAAAACTTGTAATTTGACCCGACGTTCGAACCTTTAACTATATGTTTGTATTTGTACATTTCATAACAATTTCAAATTTAAACAGAAAAATAAAAAAAATCAAGACAGGATAATTGCAATGGAATGTGGTACAATTATTTTCCCTAACTAAAGGTACTGAAGATGTACCCTTAAGAGTAGCCCCCCTTAAAAACATTTGTACCTTGAAAGGAGTAGTTTTTTCAGAGTATGTGGTTTCATTAAAAGAGCAAAATGTACAGCGAGACACATCATTTTTATAATTGCAGCTAAATACTGCAATGCCTACTTTTAACCCTAACCTTAACCTTAACCTTAACCTCAATACCCCAAAGGACATCTTTGTTCCCATTTTTCAAAGTTTAGTTTTTCAAGCTGCATTTTGTTTATTTTGCATATTATCCCTCGTGGGGATCAACGAGATTTTCTCACAACATCAAAGTTTTCCTGTCATTGCAGGGACATGTGGTTTGCATAGTGATAGTCAAACAAAGCACACACACAAACATTTTCTGGGCAATAGATAGATATTGTTGCATACACAAAGCATTTAAATCTATTATAGCATCATGTTTCACTGAGCCAGCTTGTTTAGACTTTTCGTAAGCACTAATGTTACGGACTTCACTAACACACTCCCAACCCTATGGACTATTACTGTTCAGATTACATGTACCACCCTGATATCATTACCCACAACATTCTATCCTTCTTCCATCACTCCCTCTCCAGTTCTGTGTCCTGGGCTTATATACAGTGTATCTCATATGTACATAATTGTGTTTGTTGCCTTCTACAGTGAAGTGACTATGTGTCCAGTGTTTTAGTGCACGAGTGCTGATCTATGATATTTTTTCATACTTTGTTGGAAGTATTTTACATACCAGAAATGCCTTATTCTAAGACCCTAGCAGTTTTGTTTTGAAATGCTTGAACTGTATGGTTGCTAATGTAGAGTGCCTTCCAGAATTATTGGTACCTTTGATAAAAATAAATTAAAAGGCGTTTTAGAAATGTTTGTTATTCATTTTACACTGAATCTTATCTTTTAGTAAGCTTATTCAAAAAAGTCCCTATTATCTCTTCAGAGTTATTGCTGGCCATAAAAAAGAATGGTGTAGTTCATATAAATCATTTCTCACATGTAGCTTATTGACAAGGGTACAGAATAATTGAGTAATTATTCTTTGCTACTATGCGTAAATGTTATTTATAAAGATTTGTACTTTATTTGAGTATTATTGAAATTAAGTACTTTGTACTCTTACTCAATTACATTTACAAGAGAAAAAACATGGTTCTACTTCTCACGTTATCATTAAGACCTTTAAATTACTTAATAGCCAGAAGATTTCTCTTTTTTCTTGACAGTCAGTTGAGTTTCCATGCATTTAAAGTTACTATTTGTATTAAAATATCCATCCAAATTTATAGCAATGTAAAATGGAAATTTGCCACTCCACTACTACATCGCACACCACCAAACAAAGATTACGTTATTGTGAGAAATTGTATGGTCGTGATACACAGTGCACTTTTCTTAGCATATCGTGGATGTTCTCAGTGCTTAAAAAAACACTGAACAACTACATGTTTCATTACAAACAGAGCATAATTAGACCTGTTTAATAGGTTTTAGTGCAGTACAGATATACATGTCGTGATACATGTTGTACGTGATACATATTGTGTCTCATGAAACTGCCCTTGTTCCATACTTCCACTGTTGATTGCTTGAGATTTTGATGAAGTGCAGTGTTGCTTAGACATCGTCTTAATTTTTCTGCCCCTGCTAATTGACAGAAGCAGCAAATTCTATTAGTGTGAATTCTAAAGTTAATATGACATTTGTGTTTATAAGTGGAAGAGGGATTTGAATTTGATGAAAAGTTGTTGTGCATAGAGTTTTGTTTTGCCAAAAGTTTTTTTTTTTTGTATTTTGTCATTTTTTTTCTCCTGACATCAAAAAAAGTCAAAGTACATACTCAATCATGCCAGTACAGAATGAAAATCAAATGGAAAGTTATTTATATGACTATGATTATGTAATTTCTTAGTTTAATGTCAATAATGACATAATGTGAGCTAAATGTATAGCAAAATGACAACATTAACTTAAAAACACCAAAAGTCTTTTCTATGAGTGCCAATAATCGTGAAGGGCACTGTAGACTTAACAACTAGAACTAGTTGATACTTTGATATCTTATATTGTCTTTTACTAATGGACTAATTCTTTTAGCTACTTTGCTGCAGGCCAGCTATAAAGGAAAAAACTCTCCTTCATTCCTGATTACTGAAGTTTTTAATCAACAAGTGCTTTAGTCCATGGCCTTAGGACGATGAGATCAATGAGATTGGACTGTGCTTCTTCTGTTTCCATGGCAGCCTACCATTGTGCGGCATCACTGGGTCCATCGACGACGACAAGAGGGGAAGTGCAAACAATGCGGGAAGGTGTGTGTGTTTGTGTGTGTGTGTGTGTGTGTGTGTATGTGTATGTGTGTGTGTGTGTTTGTGCGTGTACACAGCTCTTCAAGTATGCATCAGTAGGCCAGATGCGAAACCCATTAGAAATACATGACAAGATGCAGATGTTGCTGTCAGTTTCTTTCGATAGCTTGTCAACAGCTTGTTGGCCACAGACATGAGAAAAGTTGTCACAGTCGGTTTTTCTGTAGATGTTTGCACATTTTAATGCCTGGATTAATGATGGCAATCTCTCAGCATTTGTGTAATTGCTGTCTGTTGCTTTCTGTGTGTTTACAGGGATTTCAGCAGAAGTTTGCCTTTCACAGTAAAGAGATTGTGGCCATTAGCTGCTCTTGGTGCAAACAAGCAGTAAGTGTGATTAAATGTGTGTATATGTATGTGTACAAGTGAAATTTGAGTGTGCACATGACATATAGTTCTGTGCAAAAGTCAGAGACCACACTTCATTTATTTAATTTCAAGTCAAAACAGCCATTTAGTATAAGTTATAAATGCAATGAAATGGGTTTCCGTGGCTGAGCAGCTACACACAAGCCTAAGATCAAAATGCACAATACCAACTGTCAGATGGAGTGGCGTAAAGCATGCCGCCACTAGAACAGTTTCTTTCCCTTACAAATGCTCATCTGGATGAATGGGCAAAAATTCCCACAGATACACTCCAAAATCTTGAGGGGAAGAGGGGAAGCTGTTACAGCTGCCAAGGGGGACCAACTCCATATTAATGTGATGTCATAAAAAAAGCTCTAGTAGGTCTAATGTGTAGATGTCCCAATACTTTTGTCCATATATATATATATATATATATATATGGACATACACAACAGCAGGAAAAAAGCAGAAAACATATATAACAGAAAATTACACAGAAGGCTCAAATCTAATTATTTAAATTATTTAGATAGGTATTTAGTGTGGTGTGTCCACCCTTTGGCTTTATTACAGCTTCCTTTTTTTAGGGAGGCTTGCTTTCAGTTTTTCAAAAGAAATCTGCAGGTATATTTTTCCACACAAGTTCAGTCTTAGCAGTTGGTTGCATGTTCTGCTTCTCACAATGCAAGTAATCCCAAGCACATTCATTGATGTTGAGGTCTGGGCTCTAGGGTGGTCAGTCCATTGTTCTGAGAACACCGACAGCTTCTTTGTTTGATTTACAGATGTTCTTCTTTTTTGTCTGTTTATTTTCTTAGTAACAGCTTTTCAGACCCATACTGTTGAGTTGTCTTCTCACAGTGAACATATATGAATTAGATAAGAAGCAAAAGTGGAGCTTGATTTTCTCCTATCTCTCTTTTTTAACTTCAGTTTTGGAAGCTCATGTTTTTTTTTTTTTCCTTTTGCAAGTGGAAAGTTGCAAAGTGCAAGTTTCCTGAAATATGAATAGCTTATACTAAATGGCCATTTTGACTGAAAATTAAATAAATGAAGGGTGTTTTTTTTTAACTACTGTATGTGTACACATACCTACATTCAGTATCACAATGTAACGTGTATTATATCTCTTTTTTTGTAGTATCACAATAAGGTGACATGCTTCATGCTACAGCAGATTGAAGAGGCCTGTTCATTAGGAGCTCACGCAGCAGTTATAGTACCTCCTACGTGGATTATACGTGTTCGTAGACCTCAGGTACACCCATGCACACAGTCTTACAAAAATGATTGTGGTTGTTGTAGCTTTATAAACTTACTGTGCTTATAGAGCCCAGGTGAATATATGGACATGAAAGCTGTGGTCAGGTCGAACAAAACTAAAATTGGTCTGGAGAGAGAGCCAATGCACTTCAGTGGTAAAGGACGCTGGAATGCACACACTGAACACATAGTGTGGAAACATACTGCAAATTTGCGAACGTTGGAGGCATTAACCAGTACAAAGCAAGACCGTGAACTGTGGTGTCTTCTTTCTGAAAAACATGAAATGGAATGGAAACATTTAGATTCTTGCCGCTCTCATAAGCTACATAGTTATTAAACACTAGCTTTTCACTGAACTGCGTGTTTCCTACACTATCATATTACATCAGGACCACGCATAATCGCCTGATTTTTACACCAGGGAAAGAAAACAGCAAGGGAAGAAGTCTGGTGTGACTGTGACTTAAGCTTACCATGTACAATTTGTTTACATGGAAGCACTCAAAATTGTTTCAGATAAAAGAGGTTTTGTTGAATAATTTGATATATGTCATGTATTTATTGGACTATTTTTTTGGAAAATAATGGACTTGGGCACAAAAATTGCAAGTTGTGTCAATGATCTGTGTGTGTGTGTGTGTGTGTGTGTGTGTTCTATTATATCATTTGAAAGTGCCAGGTGTTCTTCAGATTGTGGGAAGGTCTCAAGATGAATCAATGGAAATCATCAAAAATTACTTAGAATAAAATCATTTTACATGGATAAATAAACACAAACGTATATATTTAGTGTATTGGCGATAATTCAGTGACTTATACATTACTACCCCATCCCAAATGCACACATACAAATGCAAATGGGAAATTTGGCAGATTTGCCCAGCAGAGGGCAGCGGTGTACTTCTAACGAACATGTATGTCTTCTTGCAGTCCTCACTAAAATCAAGCAAAAAGAAGAAACGGACCTCATTCAAACGCAAATCCAGCAAGAAGGGAGCAGAGGTGGGAGTGATTTTCTCTTTCAGCTGATTTTAATTTTTCAACAAAATCTACCTCTTCCTCCATTAAGCACTTCTCCCAAACTGCCCCAATAGGAAGCACGATGGAAGCCATTCATTGTGAGACCGATTCCGTCTCAGCTGATGAAGCCACTTCTAGTGTTTGTAAATCCAAAGAGCGGAGGAAACCAGGTCAGCCACTTAATCACAGCTAAAGGCGTGAATCACTGAATCAAATGCGATTCACAGGCATGAATCACTAAATCAACTGGCATTCATAGGCACGGATTACGGAATCAAATGGAATTTATAAGCATCACCAAATCGGAGTCATACATACAACACAAAATCACACAGTAAATTACTGGATATTAAACATGTTGCACACAAAGATTACTGAATCAGCAGTTATACATACATCATTGGACAATAAGCAATTTTAACAAGTATTTCAAGTGGTCATATGATACGGTCTTCAGTAGTGCAAAAGTGACCCCTATTTGCAGCTGCTTTCACATATTGAAAAAATGTTTTCTGATGTGTTTCCCTGGGCTGTTTGTGAATATTCTACAGAATGTATTTTCCTTTCACAAAACCTGAATTGATCTATTCCCGTAATTCTTTTGGGCCAAGTCTTATTTGTGTTTCACACATGATTTTTAAAACATGTTAGGGTCCCAAGCAGTAAAGAAAACTAAAAAGTTGTGTGTTAAAGCATCTTAAGTCCATTCAGCCAAGGAGCTATTGTTGGTCCAGTGGCATCTATACAATGCAAATGCAATTTTGTTTCAAATCACAGCAGTAATGGACTTCCTGACCTCTGTCTTCCAGGGGGCCAAAATAATCCAGTCCTTTATGTGGTATTTGAATCCTCGGCAAGTCTTTGACCTGAGCCAGGGCGGACCTAAAGAAGGGTACTTAATCTTGTCTGCCTGTTCTCTACAATAACAGAATATTCATGTGAATGTAGGACTTTTCTCTGAGCATGCATGTGTATGTGTGGGGTTATGTCTGTTTTAGGTTGGAGATGTATCGGAAAGTTCACAACTTGCGGATTCTGGCCTGTGGTGGTGATGGCACGGTAAGTGAGAGCAAATTATTAAAGGAATAATTTGATAAAAAGTCAAATTTACACAATTTTCCACTAACCCTGGATGTAGGATCAGCCAAAACATGTTTGGATTCTACTACTTTAGTTTAGAACTTGAGCTGCAAAGATAACATTGCTAACTCTAGGGTCCTGTTTCAATACGTTTTTACATGCCCTCGCCAACTTTGACTCACCACTTGAATTTGCGTTTCGCCTACATTGCACAAGTGGCCACTCACAGTACAAGGGGAGGAGGGGACAGTGAGGAGTGGATTATTTAATCGGAACACACTCACCCTCAGCTAGGTTAGCCTCATGGGCTAATTGGCAGGCCATGCAAACTTTCAAAAAAGTTTTTTTTTTGAGAAGTTTGAACATAACATTAAATAAAATTTGATCTCTATTCGCTAACCGTTTTACCTGGTTATAAACGTTGGAGTAGAGCTGTGATGTAGTGCCTTTTGGTGTTGTTAGCATTGTTGCCTTTAGCATGCTAACTAGCAAGATATCAGAGTAAAGTTGTATCAGCAGTCATGTTTAACAGATGGAATAATTTGCAACCTAAAGCCCAGCAAATCGAATGTTATGGTTTTGAAATAGTAAGATTTAATGTAGTTGACTGCTATCGCGTACAATTAGCTTTATCATAGCAATTTTAGGTTTGAAAAGGAAAATAACATACTAACATACATCATTCGCCTGGATAAAGTAATGGAACCGCCCTTAAAATGACAGTGGAGTTACCCCAAAGTGAAAATAATGAGGCCAAGTGAATGAGGGCATGTAAAAACCAGAATTGAAATGCGCTATAGAACTCAGTAGTCACCTGAATAGCCCAAACTGTTTTTGTAAAAATACATTCTCTCAAACCACATTCACATCTTCATTAAGGTCACACAGAATAGTCAAAGTGGTTTAGGACACTTTCTGACTTACTGTGGACTGTAAATATTAACAAAACCTCGCTGTGAGACTACAGGGTTCTGTTTTCGAAAAACCCCTTCAGGAGTAGGAGTGATGATCTAGAATCAGTTATTGTGACAATGACCATCATAAATACTGAGGAATCTGATCCAAGATCAAAGCTCTATTTTATGACTGCTTTGCGATTAGCAGCCCTGGTGTTGTCTGAAATGGCTGAAGTTTTGTTCATTTTTACAGTTCACAGTCAGTTGTACTGGATCCTAAAATACATCAACTAGTCTACATTAAGACCTGGATGCAGTTAGAGTGGGTTGAGAGATGTTTTGGTGAGGTATTTTAATGGAAACGATTTGGGCTATTTGAGTGACTACTGAAATGTAGGGTTTGTTATCAACATTAACCTCGCAGCTACAGATCTAAAGTAAAGAAGCAAAATTTTGACTCACCAAATTATTTTTCCAAGGCTCAAAGGCCCATCCATGCCCTATTTTACACCGAACACAACCCCTTATACATACTTAATGTCAAAACCAGGATGCTGAGTCATACGCTTAGAAAGTTTACCAGATCCAAAACTGAGAAGAATTATGCTGAAGTGTGCAGCAGTGTCTGCAGATATAATGCAAGGAGTGCTGCGTATGTACACTTGTGCATGAGTGTATGTGTCTGCGTGTGTCCTGGTTTGGCTGTGTGTGGTGTCATCTCTGAGTAATTAAGAGCATTAGAGTTTGGATGAGCGCACAGCTTGCGGAATACCCCTATATTTCACACACTGACATTTATCCACCCAGGAGGATTTCAGCACTACCGCCTCAAGCTGCACAGAAATATGGAAAAAATAAGGGATTTAAAAATCTCCACAGTGTCCTGGGGAAGTGAGTTTCTGGGGAAAATGTGCAATCTTTTTTTTCTTTATGGAGTTGTTCTGCAAAGGAACATTGCATATGCAGAATAGGGCATGACCAACATACAGTCATATATGTATGGGCACCCCAAACTTACAGATTTTGTTGATTTTCTGACTGAAATTAAGTACATATCTTCACATCTACATTAGGTGCATTCTGCACATTTTAAAGCACAATTACTGTTAATTTGCTAAATTTAATATATTGAGGTGAAAAAAAATATAATGTGGTCTGTGCAAAAGTTATGGCACATTAAATATTTTATGTTTTATTTTTCTAATATGTTTAACTTATCTAATAAACAGAAATTGTGCACTACAGTTTGCAGACAAATTCCATATTTAAGTGTGTTCCGTATAGAGAATGTGTTAACTTATTCTCATGTCGAAATTCCACATTCATTTGACCAGGGGTGTTCAAACTTTTACATACAACCGCATCAACTACTATTTTGAAAAAATAAAGAAGTTCTTGTTAGTTTCTACTGCATTAATATTTGTCTGTAATGTAACATAATATGATAATTTTACAAGTAAAAAAAAAACAAAAATTAATAATGCCCAGTTAAGTCTTTTTAAAGAATTTGCTTAGTACAGTATGTTTGCACAGTACTGTATATATACACAGACCTACTGCATTTTGTGAAAATGTTGTTCTGACGTCCCCATAATGGCCTCACATAATATAGAAATTCATACTCACATAGAGCCTGTTTACACCTTCAACTAACTTGTATCATGTTACAACCATATCTGAATAAATTTTGGCCAGATTCCATTTATAAATGGAATCTGATTGTACTTCTGAATAAATTTTGGCCAGATTCCATTTATAAATTGTATATGATTGTACTTTTCCTGCATAAAAAGCACATCAACCCATGCACGCTTCTGTTTTACTTTTGTTTATTTTTTTCACTGTTATGATACGGCTCAACAAGCTTGGCGTAAATGATTTCTGGAGTGGAGAGGATGAATGGAGAGGATAAATGATCCTGGAGTGCAAGAAGAATCTTGGTTTAGGGTTACTTTAGTCTAGTGTATCCTCCATCTTTCATTTTATTGTTTTTTTCTTTCTTTCACTTGCTAGTCAGCACCCACTTGAGTCCTGGGGGTGTTTATACCTGGCTTTGTATGCAGTCAAGTGAAATCCCAATAAGATCCAGTGACCGAAAACATTATGCATGGCATAAACAGGCCCACAGACACTCTCTGAATGGTTGTTCTCTCTGACTTTTCCAGGTGGGCTGGATCTTGTCCACTCTGGATCAGCTGCAGCTAAACCCACAGCCTGCTGTGGCTGTACTTCCTCTGGGGACAGGAAATGACCTTGCCAGGACCTTGAACTGGGGCGGGGTGAGTGAGTGCAAATGCACTAAGAATAACAGAATGTGTTTCTGTATTAATGCGAAACACTGCCAGAGTTTCTTGCTTTTTGTACTGTGCTTAACTCTACAATATATTCCAAAAGAAGCTTACTCCTAATTGTTATCTCATCTTTGGGGGAAAAATTTAAAGGGTCCGTATCATAGAAAAAAAATTCCTCACTTTTTTTTTTTTAAATAGAAGTGTTTGATGTGGTATGGAAACATTGTTAAAGGTACAAAATGTACTGTTCACTCCCTAGTCCATACAGTCCATATATGGAGACTAAGCTACGCACATTTCCATTTATCCACCTATTCAGCCTACAGCAGTTTAACTCTGCCCATTCACGCTGAAGTTATGCAGAGTGTTGTAGCCCAGACTGCTTTTTGAATGAGATGTAATTCAGCATAGCTAATCAAAACAGAGATAATATCAATGTTAAAGCTAAAAACAGCCTCTTTAAATATAAGGGATAAAGAGAGAGTGGAAAATGGTCCTGTAAAACTAATTGTGATGCACAAATGTGGGCCCCATGAAAAAAAATACAAGAAAGCTGTAGGATATGGTCCCTTTAAGTTATTGTGCCAACTTGATAGCCTGGCACAGTTAAATACTGGAAGAGAAAAAAAAAATTATAATTTGTCGTGTGTGTGTGTTTGCGTGTAGGGGTACACAGATGAACCTGTGTGTAAGATTCTGTCTCATGTGGAGGATGGCAATATTGTGCAGCTTGATCGTTGGAACTTGCACGTGGAGCCAAACCCGGAGGCAGGGCCAGAGGAGAAAGACGAACAGGTCACAGACAAGGTTGGCTCTGCCCCACCTTCAATCACTCCATTCTTCCTTACTTTGGCTACCATTCAAGTTTACAGTCACTTAAGATTTTTTTTGTTATTTTATATGCAGTAATACCTTCTGTAAATTTAAATATTACTAACCACGTAGTTTTAAATATTTTATTGAATATTTCAAGTATTTTCTCTTATATTAACTCCATTCATCTTGACAGTCACAGCTTTCTACTGTTTGAAACCTGTGAAGGTCAACATCATATTACAGTTACTTTATACTCTTATCCATAACAGTATATTATGGGGCTGGGTATTAGCAGCTATTTCACAATATGAAACAAGTAACAAAACATAACCACATTTGATTTTCATCCAGTGGGTTTTAATAATATAGACAAATTGCACAGTGAAAATGGTATGTATCCTTTGATATCTTGACATCTTCAAAATGTGTTTAGTTTCATTTTAAAACTTGTGCATCAGCCTAAATTATGCTACTGAAAGCATTGATTCCAAACTTTTGAAAAGGTGATTCCAAAGTTTTGAAACAGTTGTGTACTAGTAGTGCACCTCATTTAGCTTAGTATACAGGGATTTAAACAGGTATAACTGGTGTGTGTAGGTAAACCCAACCACTTCACTTGAGTTTGATTGTGTTAAAATGTGTACTTGGGTAGAGCAGTGTATGCCTCACCTTTGGCTATGAACTATTTGGCATGTTAGGCTGCTTTCACAGTCATTTGTTGTCTGTTCCGCAGCTTCCCCTGGATGTTTTTAACAACTACTTTAGCTTGGGCTTTGACGCTCACGTAACTCTGGAGTTTCACGAGTCTCGAGGTTTGTGTAATGATACCTTCTACCTTATTTTAACGTTAGCTACTTTAACTCAGCTTTATATGTCTGTTATACATTAATGTTGTTAAACAAACATATGCAGGTGTGACTACGTGTAGGTGCATAGTTGTCTGTGATATTTTGTGTGTGTGTGTGTGTGGGTGTGTGTGTGTGTGTGTGGGTGTGTGTGTGTGTGTGTCAGGCCTCATTTTTGTGTGTGTGTGTCGGGGGGGTCAGGTTGACAGGTGCTAATTGAAACACTAGCCTTTCTCTCTCTCCCCAGAGGCGAACCCAGAGAAATTCAACAGTCGCTTCAGGAACAAGATGTTCTATGCGGGGGTGAGTGGGACAGGGAATGAGACACCCTTGTAACACATGTGCACACACACACACACAAAAAAACAAACAAACAAATGAGGGCTGAGTCTTTGCAACACAACAATCATCATTATTTTCTGCGGCATTGAAAACTGCCCTGGTGATTGTCAGGAAACACAACTCTGAATGTCCTCAAACCCTCAGTGTATAATATTTCACTGTGATCATAGTAATGATCTTATATTACATTAAGCATAATCATTACTAATAAGCAGATAGTGGTGCACAGTTAGCAAAATGAAAAACAGAAAACTGTTATGAAGTTCAAGCCTCATGAGGTGAACTAAACGAAAAATTGAATTAAAAATTAAAGACCAGGTACACAGAGGCATTGTTCAGCGAAATGAACAACCAGGGCAATGCACAGACATTTTGAGGGCCAGGGGCTTAGGGGTGAAAAAGGCAGCATTAACATGAATTAAACTTAAATTAATCCAACATATTGCAGACTCTGCTGCTAAGAGAGGCAATGTAATCATGTTTCAGAGTCAGTCAAACTTAGTGTTATGTTTTTCCTAAGACGGACAAAAAAAAAACTAGCGTTACTGCTTAAGCTGGGTTTTGAACCCCACTCTCCAAAGTACAAGGCTGCAACATTACCCACTAAGGAAGAGTGAGCAGAAGGACAGGGGCTCAAGCCCCCCCACTCCCCCCCATGGTCTCTCTGTGCATGTGCCTGTGAACAACCAGAATAGGCTCTAAATGGAGACTTCTAATCATTTGTGAAGAGTGATATAGATAAAAGCCATTATATTTTGCCTCTTGATGAGGCCTGTCGTCAGCGAATACTTAGCAGCAATGCATCATCAAAATTGTTTAGGGCAAAAAATGTCATGTAAACACATGCGTTGCATAATTTTGCTTAAGCTTAAGTGTTAAGCAAAAGCAGCTTTATTATCAAACAGTGTGACTCATTATATGATGATTGCAGTGATGATGGTGGTGGTTAATTTATTTAACATCACTTTGTTGTTTTTTCCAGACTGCGTTCTCAGATTTCCTAATGGGTAGCTCCAAAGACTTGGCCAAGCACATCAAAGTGGTGGTGAGTGTAGAATGAACTACATCATTCTCACATCTAATAGCACTTACTGTGTTGGTGTGTGAGTGACTGAAATTAGGCATACTAGAACATGGGGGAATTCTCAGGGCCTTCTGGGCCTATTTGTGTCTAGGAACTCAAAAACATGTGCAGATTTGCATTTAAACCATGCAAGGATTGTAGTAGTACTTCATTTTTTATGTTTTGGTTGGAAACAAAAGTGTTAACATCAATGGAAAATTGGCCAGTCGAGTTTTTTTTCCTAATAGTATCCAGTGAGGTACAGCTAGGTTTATAGAACTGGACTGAAGACCATTCACTTTAAATTAACTAGCTGTATTATTAGGAAGTGACCATGTAATTAATCAATCATGTTTTGAATAACAATGGGTGGGACCAGTTTTGTAAGAAAACAGATCACTCTTGGCTTTCTGAAGGTCCCAGATATGTCACTGACTGCAAATACAAGTGGTCTCTACCCAGTTGCATCAGCTCAATGCCAGGGCTCACTGTAAACATGCAATATACAAGTGTTTTACAAGCTTCAAATATCTATCTATAGATATCTGCTATATATCTATAAATATCTATATAGCATTGTTGTATTGTTGTTTTTTTTGTTTGTTTTTCACTGTTTTTAAATGAGTTTTGTCATGCACAGGCCAAATCGAATTATTATTACAGAGTTACTTATGAATTTTCTTTTTTATCTATTACATTTTTCATGTCAGTGTGATGGAGCAGATTTGACTTCTAAGGTCCAAGAGCTGAAGCTGCAATGTCTGGTCTTCCTCAATATTCCCAGGTAATGTGGGTTCCTTTGTTGTCCCTGTTTCTTTTTCTTTCTTTCTTTCTTTCTTTCTTTCTTTCTCACTCTTTCTTTTTCTGTATGTGTGCAGTTGTATATTGAGATATTTATGTGTGCTTTGTAATGTACAGGAATATGTAAATGTGTGTGTGTGTGTGTGTGTGTGTGTGTGTGTGTAGGTACTGTGCTGGCACAATGCCATGGGGAAACCCAAGTGAGCATCACGACTTCGAGCCTCAGCGCCATGACGATGGCTGTATCGAGGTCATCGGCTTTACCATGACGTCACTGGTATTCACCTCATGTTGCACTTTGAACCAAACAAAAATTAATTTCAGAAAATTCTTTCAACTGAAATAATGAATTGAAGTAGGTTAACCAGATTTGTTTAATGCAGTTTGTTAGTAGTGTGAATGGTGTCACCGTATTTTTGTTATTGTTTTAGGCGACACTACAGGTTGGAGGTCATGGGGAGAGGTTGAATCAGTGTCGTGAGGTCACACTTACTACCTACAAGTCAATCCCCATGCAGGTGGATGGAGAGCCATGCAAACTGGCTCCTTCCACCATTCATATCTCACTGCGCAACCAGGCCAACATGGTACAGAAGACAAAGAGGCGGACCTCTATACCACTGCTCAATGAGTTAGTAACACATGAACACACATAGGTCTATTTATATATGCTGGGTCATACATATGCTCCACATAACTGCCTGTATGTAATAATACAGTACTGTGCAAAAGTCAAAGACCGCCCTTCATTTAATTTCCAGTCAAAACTTCCAGTAAGTAGAAGTTATTCGTTTTTCAGTATAGGGAAAAAGCAATAAACATACATTTACCAGAAAATTGCAAAAAAGTCTGCCGATCTGTTATATAATTTTTAGTGTTTAGTATCTACAGCCTTCCATTCTTTTTCTGGGAGACTTGCTTTCAGTTTTTCAAAGAAATCTGCTGGGATATTTTTCCACACCTCCAAAGTTCAGTCTTAGTTACAATTTTTGCTTTTCATAATACAAATAATCTCAAACATATTTATTGCTGTTGAGGTCTGGGCTCTGGGCAGCTTCTCCGCTTGATTTGCACATTTTCTGCTTTTCTGAGTAACAGCTTCTTGGGAGCTGCACATCCCTTCAAACCTATAGTGTTGAGATTTCACAATGGAAGGATGGGCAGAAACACCTATGGATTGTTTAGATCTCCACTCAAAAGTGGAGCTTGGCTGTCTCCTTTTTCTCAAAAGCAAAAGATTTAAGTACTGTTTACTGCTGGTGACAGTTTTGGTGGTCTGCTGGGTCTCACACGGTTGTTGGGAGTCCCGTTTTTTTTTTTATCTTTTTTTTTTTTTCCTCAGAAATATATCCTGAGTAATGTGTACTTGCCATTTTGACTGGAAAATAAATAAATGAAATGTGGATTTTGACTTTTTACTTACATATATGTAAATATATAGTAAGAATTTTGAAAGCCTAACCCTAAACCTAACCTCAGTAAGGTAGTTAGTTAACGAAAGCAGTTTACAAAGCCAGGATCTTTTTGTTTCCAAGACTTTTTCTCCAGGCTTTTTGGTCCTGAAAAACATACAAAGACACATAGGCACACACAAACCACTATTTTGATAGTTAGTTAGCTGGACTAACTGCCATCTAGGTTCACACACATACACACACACACGCAAACCCTTTTTGTGTGTTCGGTTTTGTATGGCTGGACGGAAGGTCATGCTTATTTCTGTGTATCGTGTGATTGAAGGGGCTGGAGATGTCGGAGAGTGACAAGGCCAACACATACAGACACACACACACATAGGGGGAGCATATTTTGTTAGCTGGAGCTGACACGAGCCAAACATCACGCACACACACACTGTGACAGAATTTCCGACCCAAAGCAACCTCTTTTACCTTCTCTCTCTCTCTCCCCCTTTCTCTGTCACCCCCCCACAATTTCATTCTGCCCTCACTCTGTCAGGTCCATCTCTGAACTGTGTTTATGTTTGTGAACCCCTTTAGACCCATTTCCTTCCCTCTGCCCTGATAACAAATGTGTGCTAAATGTAGACAAGTCCAGTAAACGCTGACAAGCTTCACTTAATAAGATTATTATTAGTCTCTTTTTCTGTGCAGCTTTGTTAATTTCACACACGACTGCCTCTGTAATGAGTTTAGCATCAACACACAGATCCCTCGTAAATTTCCCCATTTGAGAGGAAATATTGGAAATGGAGACTAATAAACTGTCTGTAAAGATCAAGCAGGCGTAGCGAGCTCTATCACACTGCCATACTGACCATCTGCTTATCACAAAGCAGATGCATTTAAACAAGCTGGAATATCTGGTGAAAAAGACTAATATTGCCTCAGGCTCAGTGTCATTTTAATTATACTTTCAGCACATTTGTGTGTATATATATGTATCTGAGACTGCTGACTGATGTAAACAGAGAGAAGAGAATGAGAGGTGGCACCCAGACACACACACACACACACACACACACACACACACATATATATATATATATATATATGTGTGTGTGTGTGTGTGTGTGTGTGTGTGTGTCTGGGTGCCACCTCTCATTCTCTTCTCTCTGTTTACATCAGTCAGCAGTCTCAGAGATATGCGTGTGTGTGTGTGTGTGTGTTTGTTCAGACTCCTTTTCAGTCAGCAACTGTTCCTGGAGAGATGTTGTTGTGTGTATCTGGGTTTCACTTCGCTTATGTCACCTTGTTCTATGTGTTTGCATTAGTCAGCAGTCCCACAGGGGAATCTGTTTGTGTGTGCGTTTGTGTTTGCGTGTTTGTTTGTGTGTTTACATTTTATTATTTATTAAGTTAAACATTTTATATTTATATTTGCAGAAAAGACTACTAGTGAAAATTGTCCTATTCTGCATTCATTTATTGATTTAATAATTGTATAAATTATGTAAATGTTACTTCCATAAACAACCTGAAAGTTTGACGTTTCAGACCCGAGCACATGTGCATCAGTCTATTTCAGATTAACTCAAGCCCAGAGAAATATGTACATGAAATACATGCAGAATATATGTGACCCTACAATCCTCACATCCTGTTGTACAAAATCAAGTGTATCAATCTCTCTCTTTCTCTCTGTCTCTCAGTCAGCAGCCTTTCCCGGAGAGGTTACGGATTCGAGTGAACCGCATCAGCATGCACGACTATGAGGCTTTGCACTATCACAAAGAGAAACTCAAAGAAGCCTGTGAGTGTATACACACAGACAAACTTTAGTGAAGGCCCTGCAGCAGTATTCCCAGTCCCAGGCCTCCCCATTCTTTGTTTTAGTACACTTCATTGAATTCATAGGGTCATTATTGAGCCTTTCGTGAGCAGAGCATAGAAAACACAAACATGCATGTATTTTCCTTGATGAAAAATGGGCTGTCCCCTTGTACAACACTAGATGTCAGCACATGAAAACACTGTCATTCATGCCTCTGCAAGCCTTTATGCAAATAATAAAAGCTTTTTAGGACAGTAGAGTTACAGTATCTTTAAAAGGCAATTCTAGATCGTTATCTCCATCCTGCATCCAACTCTGTATCTTTTAGTGTTCTGCTTGTAGGTCAAGGTGTCACAGCCACAGTTTTTTGTGCTGGTCAGGCTGCTTTTGGCTATAAACATAAAACGCACACCTCTGGCTCTCCTCTCTGTTGCTGTCACACACTCTTCACACCTATAAAGGGCTTAGACAACACTGGCAACAGGCAGAGAGAGCAAGAGCGAGTGCAAAAAAAGAACAAGCCTGAACTGAATTAGAGAACGACGGCTCTGATGTTGCTAAGCAACCGAACATTCCTCAATAAAGACCCCCCCCCCCGCACTCTCTCCTTCTTCCTCTGTATTTCTCCAGAGGCAGTCTTCTCACTTCACAAATATTACTGTGATGGCGCGCGAGTCATTCACTAAAGACGTGGCTCAGTTGTGGCAACTCTCAGAGGTGTGTTGCGTTGCTTTATGAGCATTGCACCAAGACATAAAACTAAACCCAGCTAAACTTACTCTCCAGAATTCTATGGTACTTACTGTACTGTAACAGTACTGTGCCTGTAGCAGAAAGTCAGTGTTGGTTGAGCCATTTAGCATTAGCATTCTCTGCTTCAAATTTTTTAAGCTTTTTTCTGTCTCCTTAAAGATGATGTGACCTCTGGACTGTTGGGCCAACTGCCCCCAAGAAACTGTCTGTTTGTGTGAGGTCAGACCAACAAAAATTCTCATGACTGTCTGCTTTTGTATATCTTCTGTTAAAACCAGTTTTGATGTTGTTTAAAATCTCCAATTAGAAATCTCCCTTCAAAACAGTGCTAGCTGATTAAGGTCCAAATGGGCCAATGCCTGAGTTCCAAACCATGAGCAGAATAATGGCCTCAGTGAAGTGAAGAATTCTGTTCCCTCATTACATACACAATATCTGTTGATTAGAATGCTGTTTCCTGGCTGTGATGAGAATATGGACTTTAGAAGCAGACAGATCTAAGGCTATTCAAGGAATCTCATTATCTTCCTTTCAATTGACAGTTCTTAATTAACGGGTTTTCCTAGCTCATCTTGCTTTCTTTTCTGTACCAGTATCTTCAGAAATCCCTACCTTGATCCAAAACTCACAAAAAAGCACCATATTTGGCACTGTTTTTATATCAAATGGCATGACCCCGCAGAGCAAACGGAGAAGTGTAATCGTACAAGCCCAAACCTTTAGCTCAAAGGATGTGGAGCTTCGTATTATCAACAGCAATGGCAGGCTGTGGAAGAGAAAGCCTCATTATTTCTTTAATCCTACACATAGGCCCTTTAATGTTCTTGGCAGGTTTATGATGAACTTTTAATGGAATTTAAACCTGCTGAACGCTGCGCCTCTAAATCAGGTATGTTATGCTCTGCTTGCTTTGCGTCTCTGCCTTTTTAATGTGCTGGGTTTTCCCTGCACTCTTCTCTAAAGGCTGTTAGCAGAAATGTGGGTCAGGTGTTGCAAAACAGCACAGCCTCGCTTTATCAAGCGAATGATGGAATGATTCTTTTTTGTTTTTTCTTCCCTCTTTTTCTTTTTCCCTCTCTCTCTCTCTCTCTCTCTCTCTCTCTCTCTCTCTCTCTCTCTCTCTCTCCCTCTATATCTATCTCTCAGCAATCCCATTGGGGCTTATCGTCGTCCCCGGAGACAGTGACCTGGAAACCTGCCGAGTACACATCGAGAGACTGCAAGAGGTAGAATGAGAGAGTGAGCGACTGACCGAGAGAGAGAGAGTGGGGGAGGGAGGGGTAAAGGGAGGGGGAGAGGAAAGAGAGAGGAGTTGAAGGGAGTTGGAGGGAGGAGAAGAGAGTGAATGGGAAGAAAAGAGGCAGTGAAGGAAAGAGGGCATTAGAAGGAAGTTGAAAAACAGCAGAGGGGTAGAGAAGGAGAAAGACAGATAAAGAAAGAGAGAGAGGGTAAGGAGGAAGTGGAAGAGGGAGTTAGAAAAGAAGAGTGAATTGAGGGAGGAAGGGGGAGAAGGAACGAGAAAGGGAGTTAGTGGAAAGTGAATATGAAGCAAAATGAGGACAGAGAAAGGGGAAAGGGGTAAGATGTTAGAGGGAGGAAAAGAGAGTGAATGAAGGTAGAGAAGGAGAGAGGGAGATGAACAAAAAAAGAAAGACAAGGAAAGCAGAGGGAGAAAAGGGAGGAAGATAGGAATAGGATTTGAGGGGAGCTAGCAGGAGGAGAAGAAATGAATAGGGAGAAAGAGGCAGTGAAAGAGAGATAGTTAGAAAGAAGTTGAAAGGTGAGTGAAAAGAGCAAAGCATTGTAGAAGAAGAAAGATGGGAAAAACAAAGTGGGTAAGAAGGAATTCAGAAGAAAAAGGGGGTTAGAGGGAGAAGAGCATGAATAGGAGGGAAGGTGAGGGGGGGGGGTGGGAATTAGAGGGAGGAGAAGAAATGAAAAAGTGAATGAAAAAGAAGAGAAGGAGAGCCAGAGTTGAAGAAGCAGTTCAGGAGAGAAAGGGAACGATAGGAAAAAATGTGAGGGGAAAAAAGGGAGGGAAGGAGGAGAGAGAAGAGTTGAGGGGAGTTAGAAGAAGAAAAGCATAAATAGAAGGAAAGAGAGACAGTAAATGAGAGAAGGAAATTAGAAAAGGAGAGGAAAGAGAGCACAGGGTAGGGAAACGTTAGGAAAAAGAGAAAGAGGAGAGAAGGGTGGAAGGGGAAGGGTGAAGAGGGAGATAGGGAGTTAAAGGGAGAAGAAGAAAGAGAATAGGAAGAAAAATGAGGAGGTAAAAGAGAGAGGAAGGGGCAAAATCGAGGCAGTTAAAGGGAGAAGAGTATTAATGAAAAGGAGAGGGAAGATGTAACGAAAGGGTAACAGAAGCAAAGGATAGAGAGATGAGAGCGAGTGAATGGAATGAAAGAGAGGCGTTGAAAGAACTTGAGGGAAGTTGTAAAGGAGGGGAAAAAAAGCGGAAAGAGGGAGAGATGGAGTAAGAGAGTGGAAAAAGAAAAGGGATAGAGAAGGAAAAAGAAAGAAAAGAGAGAGAGAGAGAATGGTGGTGTGAGGTTGACTATAGAAGGAGGTAACAGATACACAAATAAATTTGGGAAAAACATGAAGAATGTAAGAGGAATGTTAAAAGGTCTGGATGATGATGATGATGATGATGATGATGATGACGACAGATGAGGCTCCAGGAAGATGTTAATGATGATTATACTTTAGACTAAGGCAGTAAGGCATACCTGCCAATCACAGCCTTAAGCTGGAGAAATATGCTAATGAGTGCTTGTGTTTTGTTTTGCCTAGATTGTTTTTGGTTTTGAACAAAGGGGGTGGAGAGAGGTCTTACACACACACAAACACACACCCACACCCACACCCACACACACACACACACACACACACACACACATACACACACTTCTCCCTGCAGTTGTTAATGAAGGACCCCAGGCGGTAAATAGGGCGTGAAATGTGTTGCGATTAGAGATCTCTGCAGTGCAGCTGGGTATTTATCTGATAATTCATTTTGCATACTCACTGACACACATACACACACACACACACACACACACACACACTCGAACACTATGATCACTAAAACACAAAAAAAGTCTTTTCTTCAAAACTGTTCTGAGCTCAGTTGTGCTCAGTGTAGGTATGTGCATAGGTGCTTCAGGGTGTGCGTGTGTGTGCGTGTGTGTGCGTGTGTGCGTGTGTGTGTGTGTGTGTGTGTGTGTGTTTGTGTGTGTGTGTGTGTGTGTGTGTGTGTGTGTGTGTGTTTGTGTGTGTGTGTGTGGGCGCGCACACTGTGTACTTTGTGTCCAGTATAGTATGGACGGCCTAAAACAGACAATCCAGTCATCCTTTGGGAGGGTTTCTGATGATAAACATTCATTCTGTTCAAAAGTTTGGAATCACTTGTATTAATATTTTGGTTGCTTGCCATATTGTGATCCAAATCTACAGAGAACATTTTTGTCCGGACCCAACCTGACCCAGCACACCAAGTTTTAAAACCAAACTCAAAAATCTCTCTAAAACCGACCAACAAAAAACAGAGGCTGAATAAAACTCCACATTCCTGATGACAGTACCTGTTATCTTAGCATCTAAATTAAGTAGTGATAGTCACAACCATCATCAGATTATTGATAAACCAAATTTAAAAAGGCCTAATTTCTAAAATTAAGCTTTGTTCCTCTTTATTGAACACTGCCAATGACATGAGTGATTCTTGCATGCCAGATTAAATTGTTTTAATTTAATTTGACAGTAAGGAGCAAGAATAATGTAGTGGTAATAGAGCGTGCTAACTGCAAAGCAGATAAAGATATGACACAGGCCATGAGAAACCTGAATGTGAAATTTGGCCCCAATCCAAGCCTCACAGTGAAACTTCCTGTGTTCTTAAAACTAGCCAGTATTTTGCATGCTGCGGTGCTTCAACTGGGCCCTTTGAATGCCACAACCTACCCTTCAGTTGTTCCTTTTTGTTCCTAAGGGCTTCTCAATGTGTTTGGCATTGTTTGTGGAAGCAGATGTTTACTTATGTGGATTGTTGTTTTTGTTTTTGCATACATGTAAGTAATGTCAAGTGTTAATGTAGTGTTGGTCAATTAGTGTTTTTGTTTTATGTAATTAATAATATAATACAGTATGTACAGTTGTCCTAATATGTACTAATATGTCCTCAACTATTCAGTCAACTACTCAGTGATATTCCTTGATTTTAGTAATAAAAAACAAGGAGAAAAATTCTGTAGTAAGCATGCAGGAGGAGAGTCCAGAAAACTTTTTTTTATGATAAACTCTATTCTTATTAAGGACATTCTTCATCAAATAAACCAATTCCACTGTAAGGTGTGAAGTTGTGTAAGTCTAGATTTAAATATAGACCCACAAGGCAGTTCTTTAACAGGAAAGGGCCATTTGACTGTCATGCAATTCTTGAGTAACATGTAAAGGCAAGAAAGCTGTGAACATGGCCATTTTTTTTGTTTGTTTGTTTTTTCACTTTATCTTGTTGAAAGGCATCAGATGGTCCTAGGTCTAGGCTAGTTGAACTACAACAAAAAACCTTTCTTATGTGAATGTCCATTTCAAATCAATAACTAGTTGACTACTTTTTTGAGTGACTACTCAACTACCTGAAGCTACGCTTTGTAAGTTTTGGCTCTTTGGCGACCTCTGTAGTGGAAATGTGTAATCACAGGCAATGTACAAAAGAACTCTTTGTATAATTGGTTTTGTAGCTTTTGTAGCATTTTGTAGCTTTGAACCCTCCCCAAAAACAGATGAATCTGGTAACTGCGAGTGTGTTGAAAGAGTATTTAATGAGAAAATTGGTGAAGGATGTATTCTGTGGACGTGAGTGAATTATCTGCTGTTGTCATCATATCTTCGTCATGATGTTGAGTTTGCATTAGAGACCTAAACATCAAGCCAAACCTTCTTTTTGAGCCTGTGTGTGTGATGTTAATACATAAAGACTTATTTGACATGGTGCAATATCCAACCCAACTCCTCTAACTTTTAAATTACTATTTCAGGCTTTAGAGAGTGACTTGCAGCTGCGCAAGCACACCATATTTTAGTGTGTTCTTTTTATTTCTGACCTCAGTAATGCTACTTCTTTCAGTTGTAACCAAGAAATTATATGTAGAATTTTTTTAGTAGTCAAAATAAAATATAAACATGCATATGGATCATTCTACCAAAGTAGTTCAAACTGCAGTCCCATACAAAATCATAGTTTATAGAGCTCCTTCTAAAAGTTCAATTTGTACTTTTTAAAATGTTTATGACGAGCTTTTTGATTTCTATGCAAATGAAATTAAAAGATTTCGATTTATCATAAGTTTAATTTTTAAATAAAAATGTCACTACTGAAGCACAAAGAGTTTTAGTACACTGAGAACTGTCACAATTGAAACACATATTTTCCGCTGAACTTTTGAAAATATTATGACTTTATGTGTGTAAAACTGTTTGAAGCCATGTTTCCTAGTTAAAATGAACAAAAATTTTCACTACCAAAACAGTCACTGCTGAAACATTTAGTAAAGTTTCGGAAGTGTTATGATGGTTTGGTTAGTGACAAAATGAAATGTTCATTTGTTTTCTTTGTTTTAATAAAATAAATAAGATTCCTATCTTTTTGAAAACATTGGTTCCAAACTTTTGAGCCTTAATGTACAGTCAGGGTGCGTATGTGTTTCTGGGTTTTTAAATATGCTGGGGTTTCCTGCAGGACTTTGTGTCGTGTCACCCGTCACTGCAGCGGCTGATGCTTCAGGTGGGTGAGACAGCTGGGAGGTGAGACAGGCACGGAGCAATCAGGAACAAGCTTGGAAAATACAATGCACACTATTGTTTTTAAAGCGAGCACACTCGTGCGTCTGGGCAGTTTTATTGAACAAAAAGGAGCTTGTTGAAGCAGACCTCTGCTCCTGACCAGGACTCTCTTGGATTTTTAGAGGATGTTTTTGGTTCCCCTGAGTAAGAGACTGAAGTGGAAAACAGATGTTTGTCTCCCAGAAAAAAAAGGGCTTCTTTTTGGACTGAAGCGGAGCGTCCTCTCTGCCCTCATGTTTATCCCCCTCTCTGCCTCCCCTAACCACTTCTGTGTCTGCTCGGAATCCTGTTCTAGTGCTACACACACACTCAAGCTTTAAACAGGACTAAAATTTAGATCCAAATCCAAACGTAGCCCGAGAATATTCAGTCTGAGTCTGACCCGACCCCACCCAGAGGACCTAGTTGTGGATCCAGACACAACCACCATCAACCAGAGGCTCAGTAAAAGCCCACATTTCTTAATAACAGTGTCTGTTGCCTTAGTAACAATATTACGTTATCCAGTGATAACTGGGTCATTAGATCGTTGATAAACAAAATAATTTTTTTTGTTTAAATGAATAGCCTAGTTTCAGCTACCCAAAATTAAGTTTAAATTCTACTTTAATGAATGCTGCAGACAACATGAGTGACTCTTGCTTGCCAAATTAACAGTAATTACATAAGATTGCCAGATTTTTGAGGTAATAGCAATAAGAAGAGTAATGCAGCAAAGAAGAAAAAAGCGAAAACAGGGACAGTGGCAAACCAAAAACTGAATGTGAGATTTGAACCTGAAGCCCAGCCATCACAACCAGTCAAAACTGAATATACATTTTTCATAAACTTACATTTGAAAGTAGTTTCTGCAACAAATACAAAAAATGAAGTTGCCTGTAGTATTGAGCAAAAGGCAGAGACTATCGTTCAATTATTAAATGTCCAGTCAAAACAGACATTAAGTAGACATTTTTTCAACGTCAGGAAAAAGCAGAAAACATATATTTAACAGAAAATTACATAGAAGCCTCAACAATTAAATATAATATCAAAATTGTCAGTATTTTTTCCTGCTTCGCTCACATTTAGTCTTAAGAGTTGGCTGGATTTTCTGCTTTTTTTTGACCAAATAAGTCCTAAACACATTCAGTGATATTGAGGTCTAGACTCTGGGGTGGTCAGTCCATTGTTCTGAGAACTGCAGCAACTTCTTTTGTATTTGCAATTTTTTTTGTCTGTTTCCTTTTGTCAGTAACAGCTTTGACAGCTACACACCACTTCAGTCAGAAACACCTGTGAAACACCAGTGGGTTTTTTCAGATTTGAAAAAGATTGGAGCTTGATTTTCTCCTGTTTCTCAAAAGTGAAAGCTTTAAATGCTGTTTATCTGCTGGTGACAGCTTTGGTGGTCTACCAGGACTTGCACAATTGTTAGGAGTCCCATTTACTCTCTATATTTTAATAATGTTTTAAGCATTTATTTAAACGCTAAATTTAAACTTTAAATATTCTCAAACATACTGTATATCTAAAAATATAAATTATTGGGCAGGTCTGACTCACACTCAAACTATGCTGGTTGAAACTTCCTGCATCCTTAAAACTAGCCAATATTTTGAATGGGCAAGGGCTTTAACTAGTCTCATTTAATACCACACCCCATTCCTCCTTGTTCCTAAGGGCTTCTCAAATGTGTTTGGTGTTACTTGTGGAGCCAGACATTTTCTTGTGTGGATTGTTGTGTTTTGTGGTACAAGGCTTTTGCATGCATATGTGTAATGAGTACTAGTACTATCAAGCAAGTATTGGTGAAGTGTTGGTTCATTGTTGTGGTTCCACAGCTGCATGCGCATGTTATGCTTCTACTGTTCTGGTCCTTGAGCAAAACATAATCAGAGCTCAGTGTCCATTTGCTATTTAACTGATACTCTGATAGGTAAAAGTTTAGTTGGGTGATTTGTAAGGAAGGGTCCTTCTTGTGTTAACTTACAAGCAATCTCTCACTTGTTTTTTTCCTTTCCTTCCTCTCTTCTTTTGTGTAACCTCCTTCCTCGCTGTCCTCTCCTGCAGGCAGGTGACGAGACCAAGTCAAAAATGCTGTCGTCTCAGAGATTGTCACCAAAGTGGTGCTTCTTGGACTGTAAGTAATCCTTCTCTTGCGTGTTGTAGTGTTACTGTTCAGACAAAGTTTTTATTTTTCGTCTGTCACACTTTTGTGTGCCTTTATGTGACGACTGTTTGGATGACGCTTTGGTGCCCGGCTAGAATCCAACCTTGATTTTCATTTAATTCCTTCATAATGTTGTAGGTTTTGCCCAAGAACTGATGTGAATCTGAAAAGTGGTCCATTCTGAAAGGTTAGAGGTAAATGGAGTTAGCTCTGAGATCAATACTACAGCATGAGTATAATGAGAGAGAGAAAGTGTTATGTAAATGTTACAACCCACAGCTTCTCCAGGGGTTCTACAACATGGCACCCCTGTCTCTCCTGCCCTCTTACCCCTGCCTTGAAAAAGAGCAAGGCTGCTCAATGCCCCAACCGTGATTAAATAAAGGTTAAGAAAGGTTCTGACTGAGGAGAGAGTATCCACGCTGACATTTCAGCTCTAATGAACAGGCCATTACCATGCCAGCATTACTGTCAGAGAAGGGAGGGGGGATGATAGATGAAGAGATAGGGAGGGGGAGAGAGAGAGAGAGATGCTGTTTGTGTAGATTAATTGGATGTCTGACATGATGGACTCAGTGGGGTGTTCTCCTCCTGCCAACTCTCACCTCCAGACCAACTCTGATTCTGCTCATTTCTCATGGAGCAAAAGCCATGAAAACACATCCACACTGACACAGTATTAGCTACTGAGCTTACAGCATGAAACAGGATTTGCTAATGCCATTGAAACTGACCTCAGTTGAACTTCGGAAAGTGTACACCAATATGAACCATTAAGGCCAACACCACCTTGCACTCCTGAACCATTAGGATCTATATCACCCTGTCCTCCTGAACCATTAGAGCCAAAACCACCTCTCTGTTCAGAACCATTAAAGCCACCACCATCCTTTCCTGAACTGTTAGAGCAAGCACCATTTCTCAAGGCCAACATCGCCTCTCTGTCTGGAACCTTTACAAAATACATCGCATTGTTCTCCAAAACCTTTATATCCAGTGGTGCTCTGTGACCAGAACACAACACAAGCTTTATGGAAACATTGCAAACAACTTAGAAAATACCTTGCATCACTTCCCCTAATTCTCAAGAGCCTTCTACCCAATATCACTTTGCTCATCAGCATGAGAACCATTAGCTGTGTTAGATATGTTAGAACATTAATGCCACCATTTTACTCCCCACAAAGGTTACTGGCAACACTGTACTGCTTTTCAGACTCTAATACCTAACACCATACTGGTATCTAGAACCGTTACACCCATTCTCATTCTGCTCTCCAGAACCATTATATCAAACACCATTCTACTCTGCAGAGCCATTATATCTATCACCAGTCTGCTCTCCAGAGCCATTGCTGCCAGCACTGCTGTGCTCTGAACAACCTTCTTTGTTTTGCTCTTTAGAACTGTTATTTCAACACCATTTTGCTCCCCAGAACCATAATACTCATCCTCATTTTGCTGTCCAGAACCTTTATATCAACACCATTCTGCTCTCCAGAAACATTAATGTCAACACCATGTTACTCCCCACAAAAGTTGCTGCCAACATTGTACTGCTCTTCAGACTGTAATAACTAGCACCATACTGGTATCTAGAACCATTACACCCATTCTTATTCTGCTCTTCAGAGCCATTGCTACCCCTGCTGGTCTGCTGTGAAAAATCATTACGCCTATCCTTGTTGTTGCTCTTCAGAACCATTATACCAACACCTTTCTGATCTCCAGCATCCTCATTCTGCTGTCCAGAACCATTATATCAAACATCATTCTGCTCTGCAGAATCACTAATGCAAATCTCATAATCTGCCATAGACCTTGTGGTAATATATACCATAATACCCTTGAAATGTGAGGTCATGGCATAAAAAAGAAAGTCACATATGAGCAATTGTAATGTCATTATAAAAGAAAGTATTTCTGTGTGTTTGAGTTCTCCGAGGACTACAAAGCCCTCTGAACCCGTCAAGAGTTAAACTGAAGTAATGTAGACCGGAATCAACAGAAATGAAAGTGTGGCTTAATTTTACCCTCTGGTCACAGCGTTATTTAATGAATGGGCATGGGAATAGCGTTAGTCCCTTCACTCCCTGCCTAAGGGAGTATAGCAATTAGATGGGAGGAAGCAAGGTGGCATTAATTCTTTAATTACCTCTTTGATCCTTTGTTAGAGGATCTGCACTTTTTATTTCTTTTATTTGAGGTAAAATTCCATTATTGTTGCCGGTGAGGATGCATCTTACGAAACAATGCAAAGCAATATATTTATGCATAGTGCTTCCAACCAAGTACTGGAAGTATATCATTGAAAATAAAGACAGATGCAGCAAAAAGTGTTCGGTCTCAGCATATTATTTACATTTTCATGAGGAGCTTTATAAAAGTATGCTCAGACAATCATGCTTTAGTACGATCAGTAATCTAACTTTTAAATGGTCCACCCAGAGAGATCCTGGTTATAGGTTTAGTTGAAGTCATTTGTTGTGCATTCATTGTTTTGGTGTGGAACTCAATCAGGGCACAGCTGTCTGTCAGAGCTGCCTTACACTCTTGGCAGCCGTTTGGTGGAGAGCTGGATGACTTCCCTGTCTCATAGAGCACAGAGAGAGCGGGGGGAGAAATGCAAGACCATATATTTTTCACTGTTGAGGGGAGTGATGTTTGGAGGAAGGTCTAGGAGAAACTGGAACATTCATTTTCATCCCTCCTTTTCTCTTCTTCTCCAGCGCTCTGATCTTCATTTTGGCTTAGGGTAGATCCCGGCTCCACTTCTGGAGACAAAATGGCTGATGTGTTTTCTTTTGTAGAGCAGAGAGAAGGATAAGGATGTGATCACAACCCTGAGCAGTTTGATAATACAGTGACGTTTATCTGAGGTATTCCTAGACCGAACTGAAAAACTTCAATATCACAAAATATAACATGGAATATTTAAGTCTGCATTAATAAAGGTATATAACCCATGCTTCTGAAGGTCTAGTACTCCAAACCTGACATTCTGTAGCTTTTTTTCTTCTTAGCTTACACTAAAGGAAAGCAAAAAACAGAAATAGTAATTGTTAACTAGACAGAAACCATATTCCCCCCAAAAAAGGCTAGCTTTTTAATAGGACTGTCAAACAATTAAAATACTTGATCACTATTAATCATATTATTTTCTGTATGTAGTCTCCATTAATTACATGTGCTCAGAAATTGACCTTAAGGAAAGACTTTTTCAGTTTACAGATCATTCTGTTTCATTATAGCTATATGAATGAACAAAATAAGCTTCATTAAAAGGTAATCATTATTTTCAATAAGTCAATAACATTAGCTGCAGTGACTGTATGTTCCAACCAACGAGAGGACATGTAGTGTATATCATATATAGCATCAGTGGTTTCAGCTCTTATGTGACTGTAGCCTCTTGTTCTCATTCATACAGCTTGTGTACTCTTGTTACAGTGAAGGTTCTCAAGGGCAACTGTAGCTATTTTATTGCTTTGGTTCATTTTCTGCTGAACTCCTGCAAGCACTGTCCAGCATAGTCTGCCAAAGGTGCAAAGATATCACTTTAAAGGCCATTTAGAAGCTGTGTTAGAATGAGAGGGCTACAATCAGGAACTCTGTCATAGCAACATGCAGCTGGGCTTCAGCCTGGACTGCTACAGATGGTTCAGAGGGTTAAACTAGGGGAAAAAAAAACAGCTAAAGACAATTCAATGTCCCGCTCTAATCTGAGGCACGGTTTTGCATTTGCCGTAATGACCTCTGTTTGCTGCTGATACAGCATTTAGATTGAGAGCACCTGCGTGTTTGTTGAAGGGTGGGCGGCTGTTTGGGCTTGTGTAGTTTTCATGGCAATTTGTGTGTGTGTATTCTGTGCTCTTAATGGCCTATTAAACATGCCACTTGTGCATTTGTGTATTGTTCCTTTTGTTCTTGATAACACCATGCTGTCCCTGCAGTACCTCAACAAAATCAATTAATTAATCAACCGATTGATTCGCTTCTGTAACAGTCGCCTTACATGTCCTGTTCCTGGTCACGTGAATGACCTCTTCACCTGAAGCCAAACAAAGTCCATCAGTGCCATTCTCACTAATGAGTGGACTGTTTTGCTCTGCAGTCTTTTCCAAACTGAAAAGAGGAAAGCATTCTGGGCACATCAACACTTTGAAAACATTGTTTTGTTTATAATATATTAGGAAATTACGAAATGTGTTTCCTTCATATCTAAATTACAAAAATTAAACTAACGCTCTCACTTGCTCTGGCCACATCTGCTAGGGTCGGTTCATTTTTCAGGCCGCACAGTTTTTAAAATGATGCCTCTTCTGATCCCAGATAAATCCTTTCAGAGTGTAACTGCTGTTCAGTGGGCACTCTAAGATGCAAGAACTTTAAGGACTATTACATTACAAACTAGAAGCTAATTTATTCCTGCATCATATATTTGCTTAGGACTAAGATGGGTATTTTTCTTTGATTTGAAATCAGCCCTTTGGGCTCACTGATGGGTCAGTCTGAGCTGTTCTCTGACTCTGTTGAAAATATTGTTTTAATTAAAATCTGTTGTTGTAAGGAAAGAAGGAAATGTTTTTGATCACCGTGTCCAATTTAGGAAAAATGAAGTGCTCCCACAGTCAGCCTAGCCACTCTTGTAAGAGACATTTTTCAGGCTTCATGGTTTTTAAATGATGCTTCTTCTAATAACTACTGTTTATCCATGTTTGGTCACTCTAGAAAAAAAAAAAACTTTTAAGTACTGTTGCATTACAAAACCATTACAAAACCTCTCATTTGTATCTGCTTGTGTTGTGTTTTTGTAGCGACAACAGCGGATCGATTTTACAGGATTGATCGTGCCCAGGTGAGTCTGACTAATGGCACCTGTGCACTTATTCTCACTAATGACTAAATGACCAGATACTCTGTTTTTTTAACAACATTCAGCTTAACAGTACACTGTATGTTTTCATCTCTTTGTGGAGGAAAAATAAAGTTACCTGCAATAATAGCAACACAAAAAGTAATTGTAGAAACATTTGACAATCTCCTTTTCTTTAACTTGAAAAAGTGAATTATTTCTTTTTGGCTACTTTGAGTGCTTTTCCACCTTCTGTGTTTGGTGCAGACCAATCAAATTTTCTTTAATTCGGTTCATTTTGACAGGTGTGAACAATCCACCCACATTCTGGAGTGCACTAAACAAATGAAACATGGACTGTCAAAAATTGTGGCATCAGTGACCTGATTGGTTAAATTCAAACTGATGCATAATTAAAATAATTAGTCGTGGTAGAATGATGTGATTGTGCATTTTGATTATTTTCCTAAAATAACATATTTAAATGCTGTATTTCTGCAGTGTATAAGATGGCTTCTGCACTAGCTGTGTTTTGTGATTTATTTTTTGGCTGGTGTCAGTACTGTTAAACAAAAGCACGGTGTAATATGTCTTTCATTAGTTGCAGCATTTGTGAGCATATACCAATGTGCATGTAAAAAAAAGTACATCCACTTTTGTACTAGATGTGCACTAATTATTATTATTTTTGTTATTTTCTGTTTTTATTGTTATTATTAGTATAATGTATGATAATGATAAGCATTTTTTCTATTACACTTAACGCACATACAGATTGTACAGATATGTCAGAGATGAAATTGATGAATAACAAAACTGAAATTAATTCATGCTCATTTTACAATCAACTTTGACCATATGCGACTTTGTTGGGAAAAAAAATCAAAGCAAATGGACTAGGTGTGAAAATAGCCTTAGTTGAAGGGTTGGACGCCCCCCCCAAGACTTTAATAAAACAGTTTGTGTATGTTTGTGTCTGTTAGGAGCATCTACACTATGTGACTGAGATCTCTCAGGACGAGCTGTTTATTCTGGACCCTGAGCTGGTAGTCACGGAAACCGTGAGCACATCACCAGGCATGCCTGACCTGGTAGACTCATCAGGAGAGAACTCTTCAGCCCAGCGCAAATTTGCCTTCCCATCCTCCTCCTCTTCTCCACCTTCCTCTCCAGCACCCAGGTCAGATATCACACATTAGCACATAGGCACAAACGACCTATTTTTGAAGGCTTTTAGGACGTATGCTGTTAATTATGGCTCTAATGATGTTTTGATTAATGAGCTGTAGTGCAGGCCCCTTTGGAGTGGAGGACACGTTTATAGTCACGTAATTACCACTAACATTACAGCCGTGAATATGGCACAGTTGGTGTGGATTAGATTTATACTGTACTGCCAGATATAGGGTGTTAGGGAACTATAAGTTATAATAAACTGTGGTTAATTACTGGCATAGCCTTGTTATTCAAACATTAAAGGTTTAGATGCAATATTAAAACTACAAATCTACAATATTTTAACACTGCAATAAAATCATTTTTTAGACATGATACATTTAGAAAGGCTGATTTTAATATGACTCCAGTAAGATATGACAGATATGGTGCAAATAATATAGTGGATACCAAAGATATGCAATGTGCAAAACAATCAGTCCCTGATGTACTAAGCCTTTTGTGCCAGTTTCAGGAGCAAATCGGAGGACGCATTCTGTTATGTATGAAACTGCCGCACAAGCTTGAACACTCGGTTCTTGTTTCATGTGCATGGAATGCAAATGCTCTTCTCTTCTTTATGCATACATCTAGGAGGAGAGTGTAGGAGGATTGTGCAAAAAGTGGGTGGAAATCTTAAACATTCATCTGATTACTTATTCCGCTCGATATATTAAAGTTTGAGCAACGGCTGTGAATTTTCCTCTGTCTTTAAAAACAAGGCCTAAATTTGCGTTGAGGTCTCCAAAGACGTGCTGTTGAGACATAGCAGTCAGATGAAGACACAGGCTTCAAACATGTGCTGAAATAATGTTTACCATCAGAATAACACTATTTAAACAGTTTTTGGGACCAGATGTACATATGTGAGAAGATGCTTTGCATTTTGGTGGGAAAAGACTACATTTATTAACTCTGCTATCTCTTGTAACTTTCATTTTCTCTTTTGCCTCCAGCTTTTTCACGGCTCCATTATTTGCTGCTTCTTATAAACCTTGAATCTCATGAGTGAGCAGTTATAGGACAGAGCTATGTGCAGTTTGCATGATAAGCTGCACCATTATAATAGAAACATTCTCAACACAAGAACATTAACACAACATAACAACGTCTGGCCATCACATCGCAAATGCACGGTCCTTCTGTACAAACTCAACATGTTCCTATGTTACTGTGGTGGTTAAAACACTTAGTACTCAAGGGTTGACAGAGGACACATCAGAACAGGATCTACTGCCATTCCAACAGTCATAACAGGTGAATGTGTGGACAGTTGAGGACTGTAAGCTGCTTTGTGTGGTCTGTCACGGTGAAGAGGTGATGATGCTCGTCTGCTATGACAGTTGACCGGAAGAAAGCACACTGGCAGTGCTAGACAGTTTGGTCAAGCTTGGCTCTTGTGTCCCTTGCTGTAGCACTCAGAATGCAGCTGATGTTTGCATTTGACCCATTTTAGAATGCAAGGACACTCAAAATCATGTTTGCATACTTGTGTAAACTATGTTTCTGGCCTTAGGGGGCATTCAGGTGATGCCTTATCAAACGCACTCGAGCATGCTTCTTTTCATTGTTGTCGATCAAGCAACACACATTGTGGCTGAACAGCTCTCCTCTAGTCGTCTCTAGCCTTATTAAATCTCACGTTTAAGCTAAAAAAACTTCATCTTTTATGCAGCGTTTCACAAAAAAGCACTTCACGTCATCACATTTGACCAATCAATATTGAGCATTCCTTCTCTTTAGTCACCAATGGAGGAAAAGCTAGTTTTGGCTAGTTTTTGAATACTGAGGGCTGTACTTACACTCAACACTGAGATTTTGTATTTTTGTATTATTGTATTTGTCCGTTTCTAAATGTTTATCACTCGTCTCCGTCTAGAGTTCTCTCAGATTGCTGTGTCGTTTTTACCTATTGGTCAGTCAAATGTGTTACCCCACCCCCCTAAAAACTTTAAAAGTTAAAAGGCATCTTGTTTCAAAAAGGTATTGTTACAAGGTCAAGTGTTACTGGTTTGTTGGAGGTGTTTTAGAGGAGGAGAACTGTGTGAGCAGGAAACTCATGCAAACGTGAAAGCTTGTTTGTGAAAACCTGCTGTTTTTTCAAAAGGAAGTGTTACTTTTAATCAAACTGCTGGTCACCCTCCTGGATGTTATCTGACAGCAGTCATTCGTGTCTCCTTAGTTTTGTTTAATATCGACTTGATTGACTAAAGCCCAGCCCCACAACACCTCCTATTGGCTACTATTGAGTATGTCAGAGGATGGTACATCAGAAATTTAACTCTGGTAAACTTTTTAACCATGAATGCTTGAAAAAAAAGAAAAGTTTTTGTCTATTAACACATTGTTCTTGTTGAAATCAAGACGTTCTTTTTTTTACGCATACCAAGGTGTCTATGCGTGCACACAGCCTAAATCGAATGTTTAATTATGGCACATTGTGGCTGCGTATTGCCATCTTGTTAAGACCCTCGGTGTCTAAGGTTGAGGCAGGTTGAAGAAACATTTTCACAGTTAATGTGAAAATAAGAATAGGTTATCCTTTAAATAACTCTGTTGTTTTTGAACCTGATCTTCGTGCACATGCACATTTGTTTCTCTTGTAAGTGAAAACGTGTTTTCGTGTTTGTTTGTTTTTTGTAATACAGGAAAATATTGTCTGCGGTAATCCACTACATGCACCAAAATAGAGATTTGGTCGAAAAACAATGTTTTGCTTTAATCTCTTGTACCAGTTGAAAACAGGCAGGCTCAATACAAAAAATTGAATATATATGCAGGGAACATGCACTTGCAGAGTGTGTGGACTGTTCAAAACCGCTGAAATCAAACCATACATGTATGAGGTGTGTGTTCGTGCGTGAGACAGAGAAGAGTGTAGAAAAATAGAATGTTCCCCGCAGCGTTGCGCTTGATCTGCACCTCTATTTATAGATGCCTGAAAAATCCATACAACTCCACGACTTGTGCTAATCTCCTCCCAAAGAGGGCTGCATGGGAGTGGGTGAGCATGTGTTTGTGGGTGTATGCGTGCTTGTTTTGGTTTGTGTGTGTTGGTTTTTGCTGGTTCATGTCAGTTTGTGTAGGATGGGAAAAGACAAACAGTGGTGTTTTAGTAACTTTTGTTAAAACTGTTCAAAAATAGCTAGTGAAATGGGATAGCTATACGAGAGCGAGAAAGAGACACTAACTCACTCTGGACATGGAGAGAACATGCTTTTTTCCCTCTTTCTCTTATCTGTTCATTTTTCTTTCAGACAGACAGACACAGACTGCTGGTATGTCTACCACTGTGTGTGTGTGTGTGTGTGTGTGTGTGTTTGAAGCTTTAGAGGCAGAGCAGCATTAACAGTAGGGTAGCTGTGCTTGGCCTGCTAAGGCTTGAAATGGAATACCTAATAAAAATCCCTCATAGAACTCTAGAGCATAGAGCATACACCCAGTCGGTGCCTCTGCATATGTGTGTGTGTATGCATGCATATTTGTGTACTTGGATTTACTCTCTTTGTGGGACCCAAATGTTGTCATAAAGGGCAACTTCCATTTTCAAATGGTGTGAAAAAAAAAATTAAAAATAAACATAAAAGGTTTTTTCCCAACAGTGACAATGTGCATTTGAGGGAGGAACGGACAACACATGGGAAGATCTCAGTAGGTGGAGATATTACACGTGTAGCTGATCGCATATTCAGCTGGATTTACAAAAGTTTGAGTAACTCGCAGCAGCAGCTTTTGCATCGATTTTCCTTCACCTTATAAAACCTGGTATAAATTTGCAGTGTCTCAAAAGACGTGTTGCTGAGTGACTTTCATTAACGATGGCAGCAGTTAGTGTGGTTAGATGGTGTCACAAGCCTTGAACGCATGCTGACTGAATGCTTACCATCAGAATAACACTATTTATACTCGGGACCAAATTTACGTCTTGACGAAAGTTACGGCGCAAATTATGCAGTGATGTGACTGCAATATGTGATGTGCATGCGATCCATGTTCATTTCCCTAATCATTTCACAAACTGTGTTTTCTTAAACTAAAATAACACCTTTGTAGAATGTTGGAATGGAACTTAGTTTACTTTGAGCAACTTGCAGCAGCTGTTGATTTTCACCGCCCTTTAAAACCAGGCCTAAATGTGTATTGAGTCTCAAAACCCATGTTGTTGAGAGACTTCGTATAACAATGGCAGCAGACATAGCAGTTAGATGAATGTCAGACACTTGCTAAACGAATGTTTACTAGAATAACACTGTTTAAACTCTTGGGGCCACATGTACATATGTGAAAAGACACAGGGCAACATATACCGTGGTACCTGTGTGTTTTGATGAGAAAGAACATAATTTATTAACACTGCTATGTCTTCATCACTGAACTTTCATTTTCTTTGGGCTTATTGCTCCATTATTTCACTGCCTCTCTTAAACCCTGCACCTTATGAGCAGTTAGTGTATGGGGCTATGTGCAGTTTTCATGACAAGCTGCAGTCTTAGTAAATCAAAAGTTAAATTCTGGCACATATGTGGGCACATATTGTGGCCGTATCAAAGCACATTTTCCACTGCGCTTGTGCTTTTCCATATATCTGGCCGTCAGCATCTTAATGCAGTTCTACAGTCAGTCACTAACCCTTGGTTTATGAAAACAAACTCACATCATCCACACAGAACTCAAATAAAATACATAAAATGGTCATAAACTTGTTAATGAATCTTAATATTTTATTTGCTACTCCATAATATTTAAGCTTCCTGTCTTTTAATGCTTTAACTCAGTTTGGTGCATAGTTCCAGCTGAATGCGTCATCTGGGGCTTCTGCGTGCAATATAAAGCTATGTTTGCAATACTTTTTCTTAGTAGACAAATGAGAAGTTTCCATAAAGTCAGCAATACAAGTGTATGTGAGTGTGTATGTATGTGTCAATGTGTGTGTGAGCGTTTCTCTCATTAAGCTGGTCTAAGATCAAAGTACACTGTGCTTTTCAAAGCTAGAACAGAATCTCTGCAGAGTCAGGGCCCTTGACATTGGCCTTGTGACATCGCCATGCAGTGTTAAAGTTAACTTCTCCATACACATGCACTCTAGCGACCAGTCATCAGACTTTATTGAGTAAATTTATTGAATATGACTTTTTTTTTTTGGAGAGGTGCATAGTCCTTCCACAGAAAGACCCTAACTGCTGAAAAACCGCAGACGCTGTGTCGGCTGTAAACCAGGACTTTCCGCCCGAGGCATTTCACAAGCTCAGTGTGTGCTGTACGTTACATCATCTCACAGCCATCCTCAATATCACGTAATTCTACCTGCACTGTTTCCTCTCTGCCCCTCCGCTGGTGTAAACGTTCCATGTTTTTTTAGATGAACAGAAAACATTGTAGACAAGCGGAAGAGTGCCAGGAATCCCTGGATGCTTAGATAAAATGGCCTGGAGACAAGTTCACCTGAAGCAGAGGCTAAACATACAGATAGGCTTACAGATAGGTGCTGCAGGGGACATGCAGTTTGAAACACATCCTGCATCGGTGTCTTTGTTTTTCTACATTTTTGGACAAAAATGTCCTGACTACTCAGTGATTGATTACTTCTCGAGTACTAATAAAGGAAAAGTGTAATTATTGCTAGGGTATTCTCTACCGGACCCAAACACATGCGCTGACAGGGAAGAATTCACAGTGCTTGGCTTTTCCCTTGAGTTGGTAGACAGCAAAAAATAAAACAAAAACACAATCAAGGTGTCTCTTTTTTCAGTTTTAAACTGTTCTTCTTTAGTGAGCTTTCTTTTCGTTTCTTCCAAGACAAACAGTTAACAAGAGAGAGAAAATATGTGAAAGTGTGCAAAATTTATGTGTCCCTGCTTCATAAATGTTTGTTATATGTGAAAAGCCCGAAACCTGGTGATTTGTTGGGACCCATCAGACTCGAGTGTGATGGCAGATCTCTAATCCAGCCCAAGAGAGCAAACTTGTGTCTCTTTGAGGCCAATCTGGGATACACTGATCATTCCCAATGTTCCCAACACCTTCCTCATTACATAAGTAAGGCCAGTAACTGTCACCCTGCTGCCTCTGGGGTTAGTTTCTCTACATGCACTGAAATAGGTGCACATTTTTCCTCATTGCTCCTTATTTAGTTAATCATATTATTTAGTTATTGTTTTGTTTACATAATTTAGATACTATTTAGTGTATTACATCCCACAGGAACACATGCAAAGTTTCTCATTCAGTAGAAAGCTTTGCTAATACTCACTGATCAGGATTGTTCATCTAGTAGTGTGGCAGTTCCAATAGCTCGGCTGTTGATGTGCCGCAAAGCTGTTGTACTTGGATGCGGATTATGTAATATATGCATTGCTGAATGCTAAACGTACTCTGTCTGAACTGCACTCCAAGCATTGACTGGCATTGCCGCAGCCGCATGCTGACCTGAACTGTTGTGTGTTATGTAACAGTCACAGATCGGAAAATCCGTTTTTACTTCCAGTCTTCGGTCGATTGATAGAATGTTCATGGATGTTTGTGATGAAATGGATGATCACATGGTCAGTGTTCATTTGTCAGTGTCTCTCTGTGGCATAGTACAGAAAGTTGATTCTGGTTGCTAGGTGCCTAAAGATCAAAACCGAATGTTTCTTTTATCCAACAAGCGTTGAGAACTGTTTGTGACTCTACAGTCTTGATCTTGTCTGCATCTAAAGCACACACTGTGAATTATTAAAGTAACATCAGATGCGGTTGTTATTGTGCAGCGTGCTGTGCTGTTGCCTCGGTGTCCATTCTCATTATGAAATATTTGTTCTTCGTGGATTTACTCTCGCAGTGTGTTTATGAGAGATTACAAGGCGATATGAGCAGATAGCCCTGAGTGAAAACAGTCTCTGAGCTGTTTGTCCCTCCATTTCTTCTTCCTAAATGGTCGTTTCATTAAAACAAATGTTGACTTTCTTTGTTTCTCTTGGCCAGGCATTCAACCATCTCTGAGAAACCCACAGAGCTTTTATCCACTGGCCCGACAGTTTTTTTTAAACAGTTTTATCTCTTATATTGCTTCATCTTTCTTGTCCTTTTTTCCTCTTTTTTTTCTCTCTTTTTAGGCACTGTTGTGTTTGTGTGTTGCTCATATCCTCATGTGCACATGGGCACACACACACACAAACACACACACACATATTCAGGTCTATTTTTTGGATCACTGCACTCTTGATCACTCTAGGGGATGAAATAACGATCCTGCACTGAGTCAATGTATTTCTTTTTAGCTCCACTCACACACTCAAACTTGCATATAACAAGACCAAATGAATAGAGGTGAGTTTAGCCTGTGGGCAGACGTCTGGGCTATTGAGAATGCTATGAGCTAGGTTTGGTGTTATGAAACTGTAAAACCCTCAGCTTAGTAAAGTACTCAACATTTAACCACTGGTGCCTTTATCTGAAAGTGTTTGATTTCCAAATAGTGTCACATGAAAAATTTGCTTCTGGCCAGATGTGCCTGGATTGGTTTTCAGTAAAGCTGCTTTACAGTGTTTACTGTTTGAAAGAAAAATTAATTGAATTCAAATGTGGCAGTTATTTACAGTGCTGTGCTCTCTTCATTTGCTTCCCAGTCAAAATGATCATTAAGTTATTCATTTTTCAGGAGATATTTTTGAGGAGTTTAGACATAATATAATCCACTTGCATAAGGAAAGGGAGAGTCAAGGGAGAATGAAGAAGTGCAAGAACAGTTTTCAAAACTGAAGTTCAAAAAATTAAACAGTATTGAAACTGAAATGAGATTCCTAACAACCATACAAGTGTAGCCCACCAAAATTGTCCCCATCAGATAAGCAGTACTTAAAGCTTTAATCTTTCAGAGATAATCAAGAAAAAATCAAGCTCCACTCCTGCTGAAAAAAATCCACAGATGGTTCTTTCTATCCTGTCACAGTGAGAAGACAACTCAGTGCTTTGGGTCTGAAAAGATGTGTAGCTGTCAAGAAGCTGTTACTAGGAAAAAAAAATCAAATAAAGATTTGGCGTCCTCAGAACAATGGCGTGCACCCCAGAGCCCCGACTTCATCAGCACTGAATGTGTTTGATCACTAGAAGCAGAAATTGGAACCAACATCTAAGACTGAACTTTTCAAGGTGTAGAAAAACATGTCTGCAAATTTTTTTTAAAACTGAAAGCAGGTCTCCCAGATGGGATGTAAGCTGCAGTAAAGGCAAATGTGGACACATTACATACTGAAAAATGTTGATATTATGTTTAGCTATTGAGACTTTGTACTTTTCTGTTAAATATATGTTTACAGAATAACTTGAAGTTCTTAGCCATTAATGTAAGTAAATACATGATTTTATTTCAAGAACATTTGGAACATTTCTGTTGGTCCGTTCATCATCACATTTGGATCCATCACATGGTGTATAAAAAGTGGAAATTTAAAAAGTTGAGACAGTTTTGATATGACAGTAATGTTATGTTAACTGCAAGTGAATGTGGATGTCACTAGTATGCAGTGTATGTGATTTGGTTTACTTGCATAAGATCAGACACATCACATTGAAGGGCTGTACAGGAGTTTCTCAGAGGTTTGAGTAGTTTGATTTGTACCAGAGATCAGAGCATTATAGAATGGAGCAGCTTCATGACAGATAAGTCAGATATGCGAAAGTAGAGAGATCAGACAGTGATCAAACAGCAGCATTGTAACTAGGCTAAGCTTCAGTTTCACAAGTCAGCTTTCATTTGTGTGACTAGCTCGTCAGAACAGAGTTTTGTTAAAGAAAGAAAAGAAAGAAAAAAATGCTTTTGAATCAGCAGGTTCTTTGCTAAGCATATGGAAAACATGTCAAAGGCAACTGCATGTGGTAATTAATTATATGTGACAGATGCAGTAGAGATTAGGTTGATAAAAGTTGGAGTATTCCTTTAACTTTGAATGGTTGGCTTATTTAACCTTTGAATGAAGGCCGAAATGTGCGTGTAGATCGAAGAACAGTTTCACGAATTCTTTCTTTCTGTGTGTTCCTCATATCCTTTTAAAAATATCCCACCAGAGCACATTTTATTCAAATCAGTGTGCCGCAGTTCAATGTGTGCTTCGCTGACTCTGTTCTAGTGTGTGTTCTGTGCATGAGCTTGTGTGTTGATGTGTGTGGAATGCATCAAAATATGGCACAGCAACTCTGAAAAATGAAAGCTGATGTATTTTACATGTGCCGCCGCTTTCATGAATGTCTCGGAGCTCGACAAGTGAAAGGAAAGATAGAAACGAGAAAGAATCCACAATCAGTCCGCTGTCAGAGACAGGTCATTAAATGGTATCAAATTCACAAGTCAGCTAAAGAGTGGAAACAAACCTCACCGTTTTGAGGACGTTTCTGCCAGGAAAGCGACGTTAAGCCTCACCAAGGCGCACAGAAATCAGGGCTGTGAAGTTTCATGGCAATAGAAATGCTTTTTGTGAGCATGTTTTATAGCAATAAGTAAAACGCTGTGGTTTTCTCCCTCTACAGGATTGCAGAATTGCAGGCTGGTCAGAGGAAGCGCGTGTCCAGCGACAGTTCACTGACTGATGCAATGACCCACTGTGACTCGCTCAGAAGTACCAAACCAGCACTTAGCAGGTTAGACATATACACGCTCTCTCACAGTCTAATACACTCTAATATCACAATATTAAAAATAAATAAATAAATAAATACAATATTTTTTTTTTAAGTAATAAACAAAGGTTATTTGTGCAATGCTGTAGAAGAACCTATTTTGGTTCCATAAAGAACCTTGTTTGAAAAAGAGATCTGAATATGAAAAATATTTTAAAGATTTAAAGAACCTTCACATAATTGCAGGATCATCAAGCAACATATTTTTTCTATTTAAAAAACAGTGCATTTTGTTTACGCTTTATGAGTGGACAAAATAAATGTCCTCAAAATTAATTTATTGAAGATAATACATTCTGAAGAAGCCTTCTGAATGTCCACTCATAAAGGAATAACAAATCTGAACATAAAACCACGTGAACATAGGGTGAACATGAAAATGAGGTGAATGCACTTTCCAGTTTTCCTTACTAACATCAAGGGGGAGCAACAGTGGCTGTTGGGTGTCTCTCCCTCTCAGACCATAACTTTCCTCTTTACTGTTGCTTTTGTTAGTTTTCAGGTTGTTGATTTGTCCACTGTTTTCTGTCAAGTGCTGGCCAGCAGTGTCTAACATTGCTAACATTCCTGAGGTTACTGATACTGTCCACATTAGCAGTGTTCCCTTGTAAATATTATTTCGGACTCTACATACTTTAGTGATAAACTAATTCACGGCATGATAGTAGCTGGAAAGAACTTTTTTGGGCGCGCCATCAGTGGAGTTTCTTGCTGTTTGAAACGTATTTGAACGGCTACGGCAGGAAGTCATTGGCTGAGGTCAAATATATATATATATATATATATATATATATATATATATATATATATATATATATATATATATATATATATATAGATATATATAGATATGACTGTCCTCTTCATTAAGTACACTTCCTCCACATGCTTTGTGCAGTCCACTCGTACCAGCACAACATACACTAACACGCCACCACCACGTCAGTGTCACTGCAAAGCAAAGCTGAAAATGATCCACCACCTAAATAATACCTGCTCTGTGGTGTTCCTGTGGGGGTCCTGAGCAATGAAAAACAGGATAAAAGCGGGCTAACAAATTATGCAGAGAAACAGATGCGCTACAGTCTGTAACTGTAGAAGTACAGTGTGCACCTATATGGTAAGTATATTTGATCAAATGGACAATGAGTGTAGATACAAGGTAGGTATACTTAATAAGCGGCTGGTTGATGTGTATTCATAAATATATAACACACTTCTATAACCTTCGAGTAGCTGAGACAGTTTGCACTGTAGTCCATTTAGTTTCTGAATAATAGGCCTTAGTATGTAATAAGCCTAGGATTTTAAGGGGTTAATGCAGTAAGTAGTGATTAACTGTATGTCAATGTGTATGTTCCATCCTTTTCAAATCTCTCCTTGTAGCAGCCCAGAATTAATTGTAGTTATTATCCAAAACCTGGTTCGACTGATCAATACTTCATTATGTTAAACCAAGGGTGCTGATCATGGAATTTAGTAAATCCATTGGATGGGTGGGAGTGTCCAGAAAATCAACAGGGCAGCCAAACAAGCTTTTGCATATATACACAGTATGAGACAGCAGAAGTACACACTTTTATATGATGCAAGGATATCTCAGGTTAGTGAATATAATTCTGATAGATAAGACAAGATAAACTTGTGTGTGTGCTGTGTTAGAAGCTAGCAGGTTTTTTCAGCCAGTGGTGGTGTGTGAAAAGCATGTAATTTCATTTACCATTTGTAAATTCATCTTCCATGCCTTCTGTGTATGCTGGCTGCTGTTATATAAAAATTCAGGCTGTTCCATAGTCTCTTTGCTTAGAGTCATGCATGATAAAACACAAAATTACTAACTGAGTTTTATACACCGAGCTGTTCATATGGAACTTCTAAGTGAAATGTCATTTTTCCAGGCTGTTTGTCTTAATAACAGCTTCATCTGCTTATTCCTTCATTTCTCAATAACTGTTGTCTTTAAGAGATACTGGAAGAATTCAATCTGGCCAAAGTCCATAAAAGTTATCGGCGCCCCGATAGTAACAGATAATTCATTTCCCCTGCTGGATGGGGTGGCAGGGAGGAAATTTCAGCCTCAAAATGGAATCAGCCATGAAATATAAAGATGTTAGGAGGGTCTTTGATATTGAGGTGGCGAGAGTGACAGGGAGAGTGATGAGGAAGGCGCTGCTTTAGACAATTCGCCATTCCTCGCTCTCTCTAAGTACAATACAGGGATTTAGAAAGATACACCCATGTCTTGTGGGACATTGAGGGGAAAATGGAAAACGTGAAAAAGTAACAGAATCTATGCTCAGCCCTGAAACAGCACATGCTTCTCTACTTGACACGTATATGCTTATCTAGAGGTTAGATTTTGTACTGCTATTGAGCTCAATTAGAAACCTTCTTCTGCCTTATATATCAGAATCCATACACACTTCTGACTTAGTGATCACATTACACCTAATCTCTGTAGCATATTGTTGATTACAACACATAGTATTTTCTCTGTACTTAGAAAGAAAAACCTTTTGACTCAAAACACGTTATTAAAAGAAGCCAACTGGCAGGTGCTTCAATGGCCACACATAACTTTTAGTATAAATTTTAAGATCATTTCATTATAAGATAATCAAGATAATTGTTGGCTATGTTCCTGCGAGATCACGCAAGTCATCAAACAGCATCTTCTGGTCCTACAAGAAACCCAGCTGAAGAGTGCAAGTCAGCTTTCAGTTACTTTGTCCCAAGCTCTGCAGTTATAAAAATGATCTTAAAATACACTTATTAAATATTACCTTTAAATATATTAGTGCCTTCTTTGAGTTAGATTTTGTCTTTTCAGTTACGTTTTACCATCTTTTATTTATTTTTTATTATCTTCCTTTGCATTTAGATTTTTTTTATTTGTTTGTAATTATCTGTATTTTGTGTTTTATCTCTCTCTAAAGCACATTGTAAACATGCTAAAAATATTTAAATGAATATTATTAGTAGTGGTAGTAGTAGTGTTATTAATAATAATAATAATAATAGTAGTAGTGTAGTATTATTAGTATAGCAGTAGTGGTAGCAGTAATAGCATTAGTGTTGTTATAGAAGAGATATGAAGGCTTTCCAAAACGCTTTAAAGGTAATTTGGTATACATGGATATACAGCATTTAAGATGAAACTTCTCATGTATTTCTTGTATTTTTCTTGTATCAGGCCCATTAGCTTGTTTTAGGTTGAAATAGGCCTGGTTAGTGTTGATTATGCAATTGATCAGATTTGTCCAGCTTGTTAGCCCCCACATCATAACTCATCCGCTACTGAGCCCTGCTAATCTGAATCAGTGCTGGTCTGGCATGTGTGCACTACCCACCAGTCACCTCTCCTCCAGCATTACCTTCACAGAATTTCTAGTAACGTAGTTGTGCCATTCTGTAGCCCACTGAAATCTATACAATCTATTAAGAAAAATCCATTAGCATTAATTGCTGTTGTAATAATATTAATACTATTGTAGTGATACAACCCCATTTCCAAAAAAGTTGGGATGCTGTGCAGGATGTAAATAAAAAGAGGATGCAATGATATGCAAATCTTATAAACCATATTTTTAATGCCAGCAACACGTTCCAAAAAAGTTCGGACAGGGGCATGTTTACCACTGTGTTTCATCACCTCTTCTTTTAACAACACTCTGTAAGTGTTTGGGAACTTAGTGTACCGACTGCTATAGTTTTGAAAGTGAAATGTTTTCCCGTTCTTGTTTGATATAGGATTTCAGATGCTCAACAGTTCGGGGGCTCATTTGTCATTTTTTTCATTTAATAATGCGCCAAATGTTTTCAGTGGGTGACAGGTGTGGACTGCAGGCAGGTCAGTTTAGCATCCGGACTCTTTTAATATGGGGCCATGCTGTTATAGTACATGCAGAATGTGGTTTTACATTGTCTTGCTAAAATAAGCAGGGCCTTCCCTGAAAAAGACGTAGTCTGGATGGCAAAGTATGTTGCCAAAACATGTATATATATATCGTTCAAAATTAATAGTGCCTTCACAGATGTGCACATCACCCATGCGATGTGCACTAATGCACCCCCTTAAAATCATGCATGCTGGCTTTTGAACTGTACGCTGTTAACAAGCTGAGTGGTCTTTAGCCTGAAAGACACAGTGTCCATGATTTCCAAAAAGAATTTCAAATGTTGATTTGTCGGACCACAGGACACTTTTCCACTTTCCCTCAGTCCATTTTAAATAAGCTTCGGCCCAGAGAAGGTGGCATCATTTCTGGATCCTGTTTATATTCAGTTTCTTCTTTGCATTTTAGAGTTTTAAGTTGCGTTTGTGGATGCAGCGACGGACTGTTTCCACAGACAGTTGTTTCCAGAAGTGTTCCTGAGCCCATGCAGTGATTTCCTCTACAGAATCATGTTTCTTTTTTTTTTTAATTTAGTGCCGCCCGAGGGCCCAAAGATCATGGCCAGCAAATGCTGGTTTTTGGCCTTGTCCCTTGAGTACAGAGATTTCTCCAGATTCTCTGAATCTTTTAATACTATTATATACCATAGATGATGAAAAGCAAAAGTTCTATGCTGTTTTACGTTGAGAAATGTTATTCTTGAATGGTTGCACTATTTGCTCGCACAGTCTTTCACAGAGTGGCAAACCCCTCCTCATCTTTATTCTGAAAGACTCAGCCTCTCTGGGATGCTTCTTTTTATACCCAATCATGTTCCTGACCTGTTGCCAATCAACCACCAGGTGTTTTTTTAGCATTACACAACTTCACCAGTGTTTTGTTGCCCCTGTCCCAACTTTTTTGGAAGGTGTTGTTGGCATCAAATTCAAAATGGGCAAATATTTTCCACAAACAATAAAATTTCTCAGTTTCAACATTTGATATGTTATCTTTATACTTTTTTTTAATTAAATATAGGGTTTAAATGATTTGCACATTATTGAATTTTGTTTTTAGTTACATTTTGCACAGTATCCCAACTTTTTTGGAAATGGGGTTACATAATATTTAACTTTTGTTTTTGTTCTTGGATCAGACTGTACTACACCTTGCTGAATAATTTTTACTTCTCGTATTGCTGTTCTGAAATATTCTGTACTGCCTGTTCTAGGATCAGTCTGTACTAAGACTTGCTGTATCCAGTCACTGTGCAGCCTGAACTCAATATATGCTCTGTATACTTTATACTCATTATGTACTCACTATATCAGCCTTTGCCTCACCGCTGTTTTAGGATCAGTCTCCTGTATGATATTAACCATATATCGCTCTCACAGTGTTTATCTATGACTCATGATGTCACAGCTGCACAACACAAGGGAGATAGGAGCTGTAATGGTCTAGCTAAAGTAAATGGAGTGGTGTAATCTCTGTAGCACAGCAGTAGTAATTGAGGGATCTGTTTTTTCTGTTTTATGATTCTGTCCCCTCAATTATTTTGATTTCTTTTTGGTTTATTGTTGTTTTGGTTTGTTGTTTTAAAGGGCTGGGGGTGTTCATCGCTCAAATACAACTGCAGCTGATTTCAAACCAGCTCAAATCAGGTGAGACTCAGCTCAACTTACACACACTCTGTAACCTCTATAACTCCATCTCTCTACATCTTTCCCTCTCTTCTCTTCTCCTCCCCTTTTTTTCTCTTAACACTCTTTTCTTCTCTCTCACTTTTCAACTCTATTCCTCTTCTTTCTTTTCCTACATTTTCTTCTCCTCTTTTTTCTTTTTTCTATTTCTTTCACTCTGTCTCTCTCACTTGATATCCTCTGTTCTCTTCTCCTCAGTCTCATTTCTCTCCCTAACCCATCCCCCCTCACCCTCTTGCTCTCACTTTTTTCTCCCTTTCTTTTGCTTGATAATCTCTAGTCTCTTCTCCTCAGTATCATCTTTCCATCTCTCCCTCTCTCTGTCTCTCTCTCTATATCATCTTGTCTTTGCTTCTCCATCTCATCTCTCTTTCTCGCTCTCACTCTCTTGAACTTCAAATCATTTTGTCTTTTCTCCTCAGTCTCATCTCTTGCTCGCTCTCCCTCAGTTGATGTCCTCTATTTTCTTTTCCTCGGATTATTTCTCTCTCTCTCTCTGTCTCGTGCTCTCTCTCTCTTACTTTGACATTCTCTGGTCTCTTTTCCTCAGTATCAGCTCTCTCCCCCTCATGTAGTCTCCTCTCCTCGATCTCATCTCTCTTTTTATTTCTGTACCTCTCTATCACTTGGTATCCTCTAGTTTCCTGTCCTCAGACTCATCTCTCTCTCTCTTACTAGATATTCTCTAGTCTCTTCTCCTCAGTATCATCTCTCTCTCTCCTTTTTCTTCTCTCTTCCTCTCCATCACTTGATGTCCTCTAGTTTCTTCTCTTCAGACTCATTTCTCTCTCTCTCTCTCTCTCTCTCTCTCTCTCTCTTGCTCTCTCACTCTCACTCTCTCTCTCTACCTGTTAATTTTGCTTTCTCTTCTCAATGTGCTGTAGGCTGTAGATGGTGAATGTTAGTGTTTAAAGTTTAAATTAGCTCACAGATGAGCTTTGCTTTATTCCCTGGGTGGGTTGTTACTGGCTGCCGGTCACTCTGCCCAGCTCCAACTGTTAGTTTTCTCGTCCCCCGCGCAAAGATGAAATGAACTTTCACTGCCAGCGCACAGACAGCAGGGGGACATTTTTGTGGTTATTATTTTTGCTAGAATGTTCTGTCCCTCATTAGAGTCCAGCTGTTTCTCCTGGCACAACCTCGGAGAGCACAACACACACACGCACCCCAGTGTAGACCATTATAGATGAGAGTGATGAAGATAGGGTTGGGGTCCTCATGACATTTTACAGCCTGCTTTACGCACTCCAGGGACTTTTCTCTTCCCAGAGGAACTCCGCAGTGCACTGGAGTTGCTTACAGCAGTGCATTGTACAGTAAATTGCCAAACTAGTTGAACAAAATAAACTAGGACTTTGTTTTGGACTCTGTATGTAGCCACTTAAAAACTGCACCAAGAGCCAGATGCATTAAACCTTTTGTGGCAAGTTTCAAGCTGTAATAGGGCACATTCTGAGTGAAAAGTGTGCATGTTATAAGTGTGTACATGTATTTGTTATTGACAATATGTTATCGTAATTGTTAGAAATTACATGACAGTGCACCGTTATGGATGTGTTATGGGTGTTCATACTTTTTTGATTAATGTGGCACTGCTGTTGTACTGGATTTGCATTTTGTCCAATTCACTTTGTTCACAACTAATTAATTATTAACCATAAGTAAGTATAGTTTTGCTGTATCATTCATTCTTGGTACACTGGCCTTCATACAAAAACAATTTGAATGAAGTATTTGTTGTATTTGTATTTCATTCAGTAATATCTTATGTAACATTTTACTGAATATTTCAAAGTTTTTGTGACTCTAAATGTTGTACTGTAACTGCTTTCTGTTTTTATTCTTGTGAAGTATCACCTCACAAGTACAGTGCAGTTAGTAGGCGGTCCTGTGCGCACTTTGTGTTATTAGTCTTATGCTGTGTTTACATATTGGCATTCCTGTCGACTAATTTATCCTAAAAATGTTTTGAACATCAGCTAATATTTCTAATGGTGTATTTTTCTTGAAGTGTGGTTTTGTTGAACATGATCATGTATGCCTGAACTTTAACTAAAGCACCTTAGTTTTGTGAAAAAAGCATCTATTTTTTTACACCTCTGCAGCTGACGCCAAAAGTTGGGAAAATTATTCTTCTCTTAAAAGGTTCCGGTGGTGTCTGCGGTATGCTCTGTTGCTGCTGATGGTGACAGAATTTTCCGTTGCTACTCAATTTAAAATAATTAAATATGTGGTTTTCCATGCTTAAAATACATTAAATATATTTTCATATATTAAATATTAGTTTCAGACACATTGTAATTTACAGTTATATGCAAAACTTTGGCCGATGTTTTGTTTATTTTTGAATTGAGAAGAAGTAAGCAGAACCTGCACCACCACTCCTTTGTTGGGGAGTGGTGGTGCAGGGGGCTTTGCTTTGCATACAGACAGTTCTATCTGAGAGTACAGGCAGTGGAAATTGCAAACTGGAAGTGCTTTGACATCTTTTTATAGACTTCACCTGCTTTGTAGGCATCCATTAGCTTCACTTTCAGATCCTCAGCCAGCTGCTTAGAGGAGCCCATGTTTGTTAGCACAAGAACAGTCGTAATGTATTACGCTCCGGAGTTGTTATCACCTGACATTTCATAATTTTTGTCCTGCCTAACCAGTCCTAACGAGTCAGTTAAGGCTTAACAAGATTTAATAAGTTCTGAGACTTTATAACTGAAAGTGTATTTACACTTTTGCACATGCTACAATTACTGTCTTATTATAAAATAGCATGCGGCAGAGATTGTTTACTTCGTTTCACTTCAAAAATCAACAAAATTTGTAATTTTACATTTTATGTTTCACTGTTGCTCAGTGATCAGCCAGCCACACACACACATTTACATAGTTACAGACATACACAGACATGTTAGTGCTCAGAGATCAGAGTGAGTCTGTCACTCTCCAGCACGTGGAACACTTCGGTCTGTTCTCTGTTGTCCCAGTAATTTTTTTTTTTTTTCCCTCTTGTCCCCTTCTGCCTGATTATGCTTATGAATGGAAGAAATAATTGGCTGGGGTTTTGGGCTCTCTGTTGTATGAAAATGGGGAGTTTCATAGCAACGTGTGCGCCTTTGTTTTTAATGGGATTATTAAACGCTAATCAGCTTATTGGACCCAGCCCTGTTTGAGAGGGGCGGAGGCGCAGAGAGACCAAAAAACATCTTATCATCAACCCACAATATGGGTATGAGAGCGAGGCAGAAGAGAAGAGGGGAGGAGAGGAAGAATGCGTGTGCGAGACGGAGAAGTAATTGAGCAGTATCTGCTTTGGTGTATATTACTGAATATTCTCAGGGGTGCAGAGTCAGAAACAGTTGGATGAAAACAGAAGTTGGTTTACTGAAGCATACAAATATGGCAGCTTTGGAGAGACAGGGAGCTTCAGGGTTTTAGAGAAGGGCTGGTGGTTTGGTTTGAAAGGTACATGACTGTGCATATTTTAAAAATAAGCAAGTAATGTTGTGTGTGATAGTCACTTTCCTCACACTGAAACTATTCAGCACACATACTGGTGTTGGTCACACAATTAGTGTCATGTAAGTTCTGTACATTTTATAGCTTTTGTAATTTATCATCTCTGTCATATCACAATATCATAACTCCATTTTTGTTTTTTATTACTGGCACCATTTGAAAGTGCCAGCTGTTCTTTACATTGTATAAACATTTCATGAGAAATGGACCAATAAAAATGATCTGAAATTACCTGGAATATAACCAGGGATGGGATATAATGGAATACAAAGTTTTTTACCAAGTATTTAGAATACAGAAATTAAGCATCTGTATTCAGGCCAAGTTACATTTTGTAAAGAAAGTATTCTGGATACAGAGACTTTTTACATTTTTAGGAGAATACTTTCAGAATACCTACCCTCTGTATTTAAAAAAAAATATGCCTTCTTAAACAATGCTTGTTTATTAACTTTAGCTTGTTTTGAAATCAGTGCATGGCATGTAAAAGCATACTCTTAAGAGAAACTAAAAAAATGTCTTCTTTACAAGCACTGACATCCTTGCTAAAGCTTAACTAGACTGATAAATCACTGTGATGAGTCAATTGTAAATCTTAGTGTTACTCTTTTGAGCAATGATGGAATTGAACAGTCGTGAAAGCTGTGCTATGCTAGTTTCATTCTATTCATTGTTAGCCACATTAGCATTTTGAGCTGAACTGTCTCTTTAAGATCAGGATGAAGGGTTTGGTCCATACAGATCTGAGGCCCAGATATAGACCAGTGCTGCTGTCTCTTCACCTCCACTCAACGCAGAGGGGAACATTTTCCAGCCATAGTTAAAGCTTAGTCATATAGTAAATTACATTGTCAGTTGTAATTGAAAATCAACTTCAGTTATGGCCCACATGCAATTCCTTCACCTTGTAAATCTTACTACTAATTAAAGAGAAACATGGTGACCTGCAGTCAGTAATCAATAGTGTAATGTGTTTGTGGTATGTGGCACAGCTATGGAGATGGTTGGTGAAAAGAGGGTTGTTATTGTGCTTGACTTCATTCGCTTATCTACTATGACGTCCGAAGCTGATGCTATTTCACAGAGGAATGGAATGGAAAGGATTCTGATTGGTCCCAGGCTTTGCACAGTTACACACAGCATCTGACAGACGGTGCCAGCAGCCGTCCGTCGTGTTTCGAGTCACGCCTGTGAGTAACGAACCTCCACTGTACATGGTCTGCTCCTGTGGTTTGGTACAAGAGAGAATAGCAGCCAAACGCAATTCCAGACTGATGATTAAAAGAATGGACTGTTGCTATCTGAAAGAATAGCTCATCCATACGCGGTAATTGACCCGTCCATGCCCTGCCCACAAATACGTAGCAACTGTTGCCAACTTGGACAAGCTTTCCAGACCTTGACAAAAATCTCATTCACTGTAAAGCATTATTTTATTACAAGGTGTT